TGGAAGGCCGTACATTCTGGGTATGGCCGTGCCCACTGGTCTTAGTCGCTCATATGCTTTGTCAGATAAATGACCTTCTTTGCGGAGAACTTTGAGGACCGCCGTCAGTTGACCTTCAACGGCCTCGGTGCGGTCCCTGTCTTTCTCAGATTTCGAGAATTTGGTACGATCCGACAAAATTGCTTCTAGTTTTTCTACGTACTCTTTTTTATCCATCAGTACAACTCCTGAACCCTTATCCGGCCTGGTTAGCACAATGTTTTCGTTTTTACGAAGTTCACTGAGGCTATCGAGATGGGCCCTTGTTAAGGGACCTTTGTTTTTTGGAGCCTTTCTTAAGTACTGTTGACAGCAATTAACCATAGTCGACTTCAGATAGTCTACTTCTCTAGGCCCGCTAGGTTTTAGATCGGCAGTCTGACTGAATAGACTTTCGAATTGGACTTCTAACTCTAGCTGCTTCAGCATCCGCCGTGCATTGCAAAACCTAGGACCGAGAGATAGTACCTCTATGAGAGTTTTGTCAAGCTGTACTGAGGAATAGTTATGAACGTACCAATCCAGTGCCAATCCAGTGCTATGCTGTCAGAAGACTCTGACACAGGCGCTCTGCCTTCCGTGGCCGACGCCGACCCCAACGTCGCCCCAACCTCCTGATGCCAGGGTGTGTGCACAAGGTACCCGACGTACTCACAGCCTATGCCCCCCCCCTCTTCCTCGCCCCCTGAACCCAATGACCACGACACGCCGACCACGCCATAGCACGCCTCGTCATGCGAGTGGCGTGGGAACGATCAATGTTAATTGTCCTCGAATCATTTATAAGTCATGTAATTCGCCTACCTTTAACTTTATTGTAACCGTTTTGGCCTGATGGAGAGTTACTGAAAACACGTGTTCGCCAATTTGACTTTTCAATTGTAACATGGGAATATTCGCTGAACTTTCAGAATTAGTCAGATCCTGTCCATTCCAATCTGTCTAATGAGTTCGCAGACGTCCTTTTCTGTAAATGACGGATTAAGGCATTTAGAGACCTAATGTGACATGAAACCTAAACGTCAGACACGATGAAAGTCTGCAACTAAGACACTAGGTGCGTCCATGCAATCCTCCGACTAACCCTGCAATGTTTCTGTTTCAATGACAACGCCCCTTTATGACCCTTTCAATGGGACCGCATCGTCTAGGTTTCCTTACACCTAGGCGCCATTGTGTGGGTGGGCATTTGTAAAATTGCGGGTTCATGAATTTCGAAATGTGTCCCAAAAGATTAATTTGGTAATTTCTCCCATCCTAGATTGCACCCCGAGGGGAGCTGAACCTCATAAAAAGTATCATTTCATGTATAGGGAATTAAATGACCATTAGATGATGGACATTACCGCGGTTGCTTCCAGGAGAGGATTGGTGCTCATTAGAACATACAGTTGCACGGATTTATGAGGCAGAATTTTTTAAAAACAAAGAGTTGATCTTCTTCCGGAAATAATGTGTTCACTTACTTCTAGCCTCGAGCGATTTACGTAGACAGAAATATCAACCAAATGACATTACCGGCAAGGACAGAAGAGATTAGAATGACCATTTCTGGCCTATTAGCCGCCATCGACCAGCCATACCTAACCTCAAAGTGCGAAATACCTGGGGTGCGATCCTGTGGCCTGTCGGTTTGAAGTTCAACGCCTCGAGCCATTGATTCACGGGCTCGTTTTCCTGTCAGTTGCGATTGGTTAGAGGCGTCGGGCATCAAATCAACAGGGCACAGGATCGAGCCGCAGGTGTTCCACACCTCGGTGCTGGCTGACGATGGCTACTAAGTCCGAAACGGCCATTCCGGTCTCCTTTGTCCTTATCGGTAGTGCCATTCCGCACATATCATGCCCAGCTGTGCACGTGCTGGCGGTGCTTGAGAGAGAGACCTCCAAGCCACAACGGGACGAGTTCCTTAGCGCGATCTGTGAGCGCCCCTCTAAGACAGAAACATAAATTTTCAAGTTTGGTAAACCTTTCACATGTACTGTAATCTCCTTCACGAGAGAAGCATGCGCAATTGCATGTGTGCGGTCCAAGGTGACCAGTAGCATGGGAAATTGCAGAATCGTTGATTGCCCCCGAAGATATACTCATCGGTTGGACAGGGCATTATGTAGACCTCCGTGTTGCAAGTGACCAGGGGTCATATTGGCTCACGGTGTACATTGATCGGGATATACATTGTCCGCGCGAAGTCACGACCACTGGTGTACACTGGCGCATTATTTGTCATCTCAGACTTGGGTCTTCATATCGCGTTAGCCACCGAACTCAATGAAAGTCAATATGGGGATGAGGGTTGAGGGGCGTTCAGAGATCAGTGGTTAGATTCTGGTTCTGTCAAGAGCTTTAGGAGGGGAGGCGGAAGGCGTATGGCATAAAAAATGCAAGCATTAGAATCGAGTAGCTGTGATATATGGAGAAAACATTTCAGTAAAGGGACCCCAAATTTGGGCATTTTCAAAATTCTGCAATTTCTTCCTCCGTACCATTCTTCTATTTAGTCAGAGAGCAATTTCGTTATACATTGCACAGTGTACTTAGGTCAGAATACTTTACAGTACTCGTTGGATAAGTTCCCCGCATCGACTATCATATCAGTCTTGATTTGACTCTTGTTTCTGTTCTTGACAGGTCACATTTCCTATCCGGCTCATCTTCCAACCTCATATTCATTAATACCTTCTGGCTTTAACTTCCGGATACCCCCAAAGCACATGTTAACATTTTTAGGCCAGTCACAACAAGTACACAGTAAATTAATCAACCATTCCAACTGCTGTATTCAAGTCAGTTTTTTAAACTATGGTCGGTCTGAAATGCCAAGTCCTGTTCCATTTTGCCTGAGCGACCTCCCCAATCGACAGTCTCGCTACTCCTTCAAGTGACCCGTAAGCGCACTCATTGCTCGTGTTTCTGACAGCAAACATGTCGCTTTAGTCGACTTAGTCGTTTCCGAAGTCAGTTCAATGAGCAGCTTCAATATCAACGTAGTGGTAAGATTGGTTGAAAAGTGAGCTTCGTGGGTGGGGGTTCAGATATGTGTACTCCGCTTAACCGTCTTCCCACAAATTGCTTACCAATTTCAGCTTTTATGAAGCATATTCCGACAAACGTACGCTTTCAGTTATTCAGCATCAGGCCTGCACAGTAAGGAGGGTAGAATAGCAAAAGTTAAACATCCAAAAAAGTCTATATGTCGGGAGGGGGGGGGGTTGAAGGGCATTCAGGGATCAGTGGTGAGATTGCAGTTCTATCTAGGGTTTAGGGAGGGAAGGGGGAGGGGAGAGGTGTCTGGCGACTAGCTGCCCGTGTTTCGTCGCTGTACCGCGAAGTGGGGGGTGTGAACACGTATGCTGGGTTTGTCTTTGTCCAGGGGAGCCTTAGCGCCTGTACAAATGCTTTATACGTGCACAGGGCTGGGTTAGCTAACCGTATGGTCACTGCCTCTGCGTCGCAAGTATTCGCAGACGCAGGAACTTGGAGTATCTCGCCGACACTTTATTAATGACTCGGAATGCTTGGTTGACGTCTATTCAGTGGCCGCTGTCAACCAAGTGAGCCAAAATTGCGCTAGAGATGGACTTTTCACACCTTGATTTAGCTAGACAGGATGGCGCTCTCGCATCCGCTTGGATAGGCGCCTAGTTGTTCGACCAATATGGCCGGCCCCACAGGCGCAAGTGAACGCGTAGATGCGCATTGAAGTGGTCTAAAAAGGCACTCTGTCCTTTCCTTCAAGGCGAAGAAACTGAGTGCTTGTGAAAACCAATCTTATCCTAGCGACTGGGTACGTTCGCGCGATAGCAGCGTTCAAACAACGATGTAGGAGTTCGCTCGCGGATCCCATCGAAATGACAGTGATAAAAGTAATTTCTCTCTCCCAGCCGTCGGCACATCAGATTTTGGAGGGCGTTCTTCCATATATTTGTTGATAAACTCTTTAGGGTAGCCGTTGTCTCTCAGAGTCTTCCGTATAATGGGGTGCAAATTCTCCTAGCTCGCTTGATGATGCAGCTGACCAAGCTTCGTTTCTGGCTTGGCAAGACAAAGACTGTAGACATTTGTGTATTGCCCTATCCATGTTTTCTTGCGAAATACACTTCTACTAATTGTTCCATCCGGCATTCGATTAAGTAGGACATCCAGATAGGGGGACACTCTCCGTCCTCTTTTTCCAAGGTGAAAGGTTAACGCTAGGTGGGCCTGATTCACTTTACACAGAAGAGCGTTCAAATCAAGCTTTTCATTCACTATTGCGAAAATGTCATCAACAAATCGAGCATAGGAAAAAGGTGATAGATCATTGGACAGAACTTGGTTTTCTCTAGTTTTCCCATGAAGACATCAGCCAGTAGCGGTCCACGGGGTTACCCTATCGCTACGCCATCGGTTTGGCGGTAAAATTTGCCATTACATCTGAATAGGAGATAAAGCGTGCAGATAAAAAACAATTCCCTGAGGTCTTCGACCGGCATTCCGACTGGGAAATCCAGCTTTACACTCTCGCCGCATAAAAATTAAATCGTTTCAGTGAGAGGAATGTTAGTGAACAAAGACGCGACGTCTAGGGGCAGCAACGCTTTCGCATTAAGATTTGTGTGTCTTATAGAATCGACGAATTCATATGTGTCCCGTAAACTGCGTGACGCTAGTCTGTGTCGAATTGGCTTTATCTTTTTATATATTTAACAGTCCCACGGTCCTTCTCTTCAAAAGCTCCCAATCACCACCATTCCCATATAACATAAGACCCTGCGCCCTAGTTCGGCACCATACACACAGACGTTCCCGACCACTGCTGTGACCCTTGAGTTTAGTACACACGCTGCCTCAACATCACGTTCCATCGACAAAGAGACCCCAGGGCATTGAATCAGAAAACAGTATCAGTGCAAAAATATAGCCTGGATTTATTTCTGATCAGAAAAAGAGCCCGGAACTCTCCCTACTTAACAGACCACTCAAAAATGCTGGTTTTTCAGAGAGGCGTCAGATGTGTTTTGGTAAATCACTCCCAGGAATCGACTCCGCCCGCTGGGCCGACTAGTTTTCTCCGGTGCGATAGACGGTCTGGTTAGCAGAGATCGAGCGGCTGCGCTGACCTTAAGTGGGTCAAGTTCATGACCGGATTCTGATTTCGTCGACGGTTTGTGCAGAGGAACCGCCGTCGTGCTGCTGGCGCGGCGATCGGAGGAGAAGGGTGGTTTGATTATGTGCGCCTTGTTAGATCTGTTGAACCATTTTCTAATTTTCTGTGGGACAAATAGTAACGGAACCTTAGTATTCTGTCTTCCCACAAACAAATTATTTGATTCAGGGTCGACTTAAAACAATACTTCAAATGTGCCGAGGTCATTCCTTCATCTGACCCAGGACTGAATAAGTCTGCAGGGTTTTTAAACTCGCCTTAAGTTAGGAATCTGCGCTGGAAGATCAATCATATTCGCTTTTGATTGGCACTTTTAAGAGCTGCACGGATATGCAACAATCAAATGATACCTGGAAACGAGTAAAATACTCGGGAAACGAAATAGCGTCTATAATTCAGGTTCTAGAGACTGGTTTCTCAGCCACCCTTTGGTTGTAGGCAAGAGACAAGCAATAGCTGCTTTTTTAGGTAATCACTGACATCTGAAAACATCGGGTTTATTTAGAACACAAACCGACAGCTACGTTGCGCATCCTACTTGTGCACCCTAAAGAAAGAGCTGACTATTTCGATGTATACTATGCAACCTACAAAATTCCACATGTTGCTGTTGTGCGGCCTACTGTGGCCTTCTACCTTTACCCGTAGACTTGAACACCAACTAGCGTGAACCCTCGAGACCACATATTTTTGGAGGCCGCGCACACAAACAAGGCATTTACCAATAGGCATATCGATTTGGGTGCTTCGAAAAAGATTTCCAAGTACAAATTCGAACAACCCCGGCCGGTTCCGAAGGGATGACGAGACGTAACTGACGCGACGACCTTGAGCACACAGCTCGCACACCCTAAGGGCAAGTTTAGTTATGTGCCCCTCTACCTGCACACTAACTAGCTGTGATGCGGTCGGAAATGGTCAAACAGGGGAGTCTGCCTTCACTCGCGTGCTTGAACATCAACTAGCGGTGAGAAGACGAGGCCGTCAAACCCAGTTGATTATACACACATTCGACAGTGTACATAACGCTTTCTGGAAACAATTCGCATTGTTGGCACCCATAAAGCAAAGAAAGGTTGCGCATTTTTGGTGACAGCGCATTCCGATGAAGCATGCGTTAGTAAAATTTTAATTTGAATGCCTTATACAGAACTCGCAAAGACAGATACGGACGAACGCTTTTACTTCCGCAAGACGACAGGATTCAACAGACGCGCATTGACGCAGACTTTGGTCGGGAATATAATTTCGTTAGGCTGCCCATGCAAGATAGGTGAAAACAGAGCTAGCATGGTAATTGTACGCAAAAATTGGAAATATTCTTCCTGCGATGGAGAGGCGCTCACCGGCCGTCTTTGCGCAAGTTACTTGTCCGTGGTGCCTTACGGGCTCTTTCTATCACATTTAGTAGTCGCACAGAAACGCAGATTATCATTATCGGTACAGATAAGGGAGACTGGAGTGGCCGTTTCTAGTTTACTAAATGCCCTCAGCTAGTCATACTCAACCTCTAAGTGTAAAACGCATGGAACTCAGTGTTTGGAGGCGTTAGACTTCTAACCAGCACTTCTAATTTGAGTAGAACTGGCTGAGGACGGATAATAAGCTGGAAATGGCCAGTCCAGTCTCCCTTGTCAATACCGGTAATGCATTTCTGCAAATATTCCATCTGCACTTGTCGCGCGGTCTGGCTTTTGTTAATGCGAAGTATTAAGCTTTCATGTGCTACGAATTCCCATATGAAGGATTTTTCACTGTTGGGTCAAATGACTTACTCAAATCTACCCAAGGAATAGTTGATTTTGATATATTTGAAGACGAAGACAGGCTCTCCGGAAGAGGTTTATTTAAGTGCTGACGTTTCAAAGAGCTGGGCCGGCTCTTCATTGTCAAAGCGTAAAATGCACTTAATCGACCAGAAATCCCAAGTGGAATGTCACGTTGGTCGGCCTCGTGTTGATCGATTTTTCTCCCCTCTTGCTGCCTCGGCCTCTCGGGTGATGGTTGACGGGCGTTTTGCCTGTGTGCTTTGTGAATCACCACTCCGTCTAGGGGAGCTGATTGGACTTTAGTTGGGCGGTCAGTCTGGCGGTTCTTCTTCTTCCTAACCGAGTAAACTCAGCGTCGGGCTATCTCCGTGCGGCCTTCTTAAGTCCGGTGTGGTTGTTTGGTCCTGAGCACTACGATTGCGATGACGTAGGACTTTGTAAGCTGCAGGAAGGTCCAGATGCCTGTTGATACAGTGGGCATCGGAGAACCACGCCTCGAGAGTTAGCCGTTCTGTTTTTGTGTTGCCTCGGCCTAAGATGGTAGCCCTCTGGAGGTCAAAAGTATGCCCCGTTTCTCCAACGTGTGTTGCTAGTTGAGAGTTAGGGTCTAACCTCCGAGTGGCCGATTTGTGTTCTTGTAGGCGAGTTTGCAACTTCCGCTCGGTTCGCCTACATAGTTGCAGTCGCCCTCATTGCAATTTATTTTGTAGATGACTGCTGAGGTTTCAGCGGGTGGCAATGGGTCCTTAGGCTGCATTTGGCGACCTCTTCCGGAGAGCCTGTCTTCGTCTTCAATTAATCAATCCGGATATCTCAACATTGCCAATCTGATTTTGATATAGTTATAAAACAACCGCGTATTAATCTCTTGACTCAAATTACCATTTTCGGGTTCGATGAATCCCTAAAAGTAGCATAGCAGGAGGCCCTGATCACATGCATTTTAATCGATTGATATTTTCCGTATATTTGCAAACTTTTTCGTACTATCTTATTGGAGTAACAAGTGGCTCGGCGTACCTTGTAGACCTTCAAGGGCACAGCCGTTAAGAGAGCTCCTATAACAACGAGAAGAATGCTGGCAATTCGGGCGCGGTGGAGATCCATTTCGATTCCATTCCGATAGACTTCAACCACTGTAACGCAAAAGATGTTAAATGCATTCTGCGATGCAAGGACGTCTAGTAAGGGAAAATTTAAAAAGCGTACTGTGACAGTTAGAGTGAGTTAATAGATTCAAAATTTTTTTCTGTTAAACGTATGACTTCTAGTTTCCTGAATTCGTGTTCTGGTTGTTTAACGAGCTCTTCGCAAAATCTGCCCAAAGCGGAGGAAGAGTCTGCTGTTCAAGGCAAACTTTTCCGAAGTCTAGCAAAGCATGATCTTTAAGAAATTACCAGAAGCCGAGAGAATAAGCCTGAAGGTGTTTCGGCTACTGTCTGACGATTAAGTGACAGTTTTATGAAAAAACCTAAGAGGCAACGATCGGGTGATGGACCCCAAACACACACGACCAGCTAAAGGTGCCTGTCTGACGGGAAAGGTGGTAACAGGGTTTTACGGGCGGGGCCTATGTATGCATGGAGGAATGGCAAGATAAGTATAGATAATTGGCAAACCCGTTTTTCGGGCGGAAAATTACTAATGCATTGACATGCAACACCCAAAATTAAGAAGGGCAATTGAAAAATAAACACACAGTACCTACAACGATCGCTTCTCAACTCTCTGAGCTGAGGTCTTTGTAGATCATGCATCAGACCGTCTGCAACAGACGATCCACCCTTGGTCGATGAAACACCAAACCGCAATAATCGTGTCGGACTAAAACCCACTTAAATAAGTATGGTTGGTATTCCTTGTATGCCACAGATGCTTGGGTTCCTTCATTCAATCCTTGTCACCCAAGAATTCGAAGTCATTTTCAGATCCGAAGGAGCATTCCTAATTCACATTTTTATGCCAGGCTCTTGAAACTCGCATTTTTATTAGAAAGGGTAGATATGTTATCTCGGGAAATGCAAACCGAAGTTCAAGCTGTGTTTCTGATCTAAAAGCGCTACTTAAATGGAGATGTTATAGTAATTATCATGCAGTATAATCTCAGCATGACAGAGAATATGGGCATCCTGAGTTCTAGTTTAAAAGATGTCGAAGGCTCGATCAATGGGAAGGTAGATTTATTGGCCTTACCTTTCGAACTCGAACTATGAGGACGCGTTTCGACAGGGCAGAAACGCACTGTAGCAAGTCCGAAGGAAGGATGCAAGAACTACGGCGTCGCTGGGACCAATTGACAAAGAAGGGCTACTTAAATAGTTTCATCAGCCGCTGCATACGCGCGCACACACAACGGACAAACGGAAGAGAGACACCAACAATTTGGCGCTCCCTACCATGCATAAAGATTTTGTCCGAGGCTACAGAACGCATTGCGTCAGAGTTAGGCATGGACATCGTTCATCATCCGGCGGCTACCATGCGTAGCAGGATCATGAAAATGGAGAATCGGCTGGACGGAGGTAGGCATTCGGGCGTAGTCTATCAAATCCCGTGCCATAACTGTCCTTTCCACTACACAGGCCAAACAGGACGACGGCTCAGCTCACGAATACTTGAGCACAAACAAGCCGTTCGAAGAGGCCACCCACTATCTCAAGTCGCCACTCACACGCTAGAGGAAGGCCATGAGTTCGACTTCGTCAACACGCGGATATTGGCGCGAGCCGGCAACAAGACAGGGCGAGAGCTGTTGGAGACGTGGGTGTCGGACACCAATTCTATCAATAAACACATTGATTTGCCTGCGTGTTATCACGCACTCCGCCCACGCAACCAGGTGACGCAGCTCACATCGCCGGAAAGTACAAACGGTGTCACCACGCCGGGGAACCATTGTGAACCAGGCGGCACAAAACAGATCCAGCCACGAACGTAGTCCCCCTCCCCTCACGACGCAACGATATAAATGTTCACACGTTGCTGCCCTCTAGCAGTCTCTAATGATGAACTCCAGTTCTAGTTCGAAAGCTAAGGCCAATAAATCTACCGTCCCAGTGATCGCGTCTTCGTCTTCTTTTGAATAATCTCAGTACGTTTTAGTCGCGTCAGGATGTCGGCTTTTGAATGCGCTTCCTTCCGGTTGCCTGCAAACACTAAATTCTGTAAAAATGAGTACTGAAATAGCGTACATTTTTCACACAGATTTTCGATACCCTGAAAAATTCAAAGTATATTCCGCAGAAAACAAACAGAAAAGATTTCTTCTCTGTACTCCTTTGACAGAAACTCGTGTTTTCTTTAGATTTTATACTTAGAGCAGGGATATGGTGAAGTTTTAAAAGATTTAAATTATGGGAAATTTTTAGACCATATAATGTCCACTCATAAAACATCGTATCTGCCCAGTAATTAATACTTTCTACAAAGTGCAGGACATAGACCACATCTACGTCGGACATCTTAGTGACGCATGGAGATATATAATTTTCCTTACACGGAAGGTATAAAGCCTGCAGGTTGAAAACCCTGGATGCGAGGGCAACAGTAAGTCGGATTAAAAATTAATCGGGATTTGAAAAGTCGAAAACAACTCGTTTGTCAAGCATAAGATACAAATAAGACGGCACCTTCTATAAAAAGATATATTTTCGCGTCCAATTTTCTGAAATATACTTGAAATTATAGAAGCATTTTACAGTGCACACTCTTGCAGTCGACAGGAAGGGAGCCCATTTTACAAGCAATATCGTGACGTAATTGAAATATGCTGAGATTATGCTGCGTGACAAGTAATACGGCAACCCTAATAAGATAATCTTTTCTGACCGAAAATGTACCTTAGCATTTCGATGTAAATTTTCCTGAAATAGCACATCTATGGTGCGACAAGTTTACGCCTGCAACTTCAGTACAGCAAAGGTGTGAAAAAAATTGGTGCAAAAGCTGGAGGTATTATCGACAGGTACCATTACCTGCATTTTATCGATCATAAACCAATCGGATGTGAGCGGCAGCTAACGATATGCAAACATGACGTTATTTGATCAGAAGCAGCTGCGAAAAGAAACAGTTTGCACGTTAGCAGCGAAAATAGCAAATGTTAGTAATCTCACCAAAAGACAGCGGAAGCAGCCCTAGAACCTGAAGGCGATATATCACAGTTGAATGCACGGGGCTGGATATTTCCTGAACAAGCACTCCCGCTAAAACGTTTGAAAAACCTAACTTTGGAAATCGTCGAGGCGGAGTTACTTTTAAATTAAAACACTTAGCATATGAAAATTGCCACAAAGGACAAATTGCGGATAGTAGGTTGAATTGGCAAAATTTGCGAAATTGCCTTTTTGACTGACCTACCCTGGAAAGCCAGAAACGCGATCGAAAAGGCTGTCCATGGAAAGTGATCCCAGTGGATTTCTTCCGCGGATGTTACGACAGACGTACAAATGACAATTGGCCAGGTGAACAAACAGCAGAAAATTCCTTTAAACAGGAAAAAACGAATGGTCTACCGTTGGGCGTTACCGAAGTGCCTACTGAATTTTCGCATGAATTAAATCGGGCACGTAGATGTTAAGGTCATTTTAATCGAGTTTACATAACAGTCAATTTGCCTATATTCAGACCTGGGCCATCTCTTTGTTTAACAAGAAAAACAGAGATTTTTTAAATGACTTCTTCTAGTATACGGGTCAGTATACAAGTAATTACAAAATAGCAAGTACTTAAGTGCGAATTTTTGACATTAAAGTCTGCTAGAATTCACACTCGAGGGGCTTCAGTCTTGTCTAATCGGTCAAAATAGTGCTTATCTAGAAACACTCTTAAGGAATGGCTTACCTATTGTTGTGTAAAAGGAGGCATTTCGAAAGATGCTGCTACCGCCAATGATTCCCCTGCGAATCACCTGATCTCGGAAGAAAACGGCAATTATAATCAGAATTAATGCATACATGAATGTATGACTAGTCAAAATTGAATATTAGTTTTCAGTACTCGACTCATTTTCAGCGACGGATTGCAAAAAAGAAAGAGCGATCGCAGGAACCATTAGGAATTTTTCTGACATGTGAACGATGAACATTCAACATCACAATTCTATTGTTACCATTATACACGCTCACTCCACCAGAAACCCTACTCACGGAATTGCATGACAGTTGCTGCAGACCTTGAGATATCACTGGAGACGTTCCTACAGGGGCTTCGTGATATCACTGAAGATGGGACAAAAGATGTGCTCCCTGTATGATGTGCGCCGTGAAGTCATTGGTTCATCTGATTAAATCTTCGCTGTTGAGATCAGTCAACTCGCTGTTTCAGAGGGCTCGTTTTGTTTTCATGTATGCAGTAAGAGGTCTCAGTTGTCATCCATTATGCGTTAGATTTTTTAGTCATTGCTTTAAAACATTCCTACAAAAATCTGAGAATTTTTAGCACTTTTAAATATTATATCCCGAAGTCCCCAACCCTAGCTGGCTGACGTGAAGTTACTGATTTATGTGGGTAGTAGTCTATTTAGAGAATTTCACTAATTGAGCATGTTTACATAAATACACACGCACTGGTCGGATATGCGGAAAAAACGAATCTTTATTTTTCTTTTTGCTATTTCTAAGGATAAATCAATGTCTCTTTGTAAGTTCGTGCACATTGTTAACTAAACCCCTTTTGAATTCAGACGCATTTTGTTTAGCAGGATCTGCAAAAACTGATATGCCAAACAGGTCATGCTATCAGATTTCATGTGATAAAAATTGAAAATATCCTTCCTTTTACATAAAATGACTCACCTAAATTCGTAAAAAGAAAGGCTTGTTTGAAGTTTGTGAACGGGAAAATGCCTTAACTACTGGGTAAAGCGGGGCTGCATTTATCAGTTGAGTAGCACGGCTACCAAGGAGTAAGGGCCATCAACTACAATGTTGGCAGATTGAATTCTATGAAACAAACACTTTTTTTCAAAATTTCAAATCAACCATGATTCACAGCAAGAAATGACTTAACACGTTTTCAGCATGTACATACATGTTTCAGTGTCCTCAGCATATCCTTTGCATTTCTGGGTTTATTAAACCTTTATGGAATTGCCCAATTCAAAAAAAAACTCGAGAAACTTTTTAGCTCGGAAGACCACGCCGTAAGAAGGCCATTTGATTATGTCCTAAATAAATAGAATTTTCTTTCTAAAAACTTTTCAGCTGGGGCTGAAGTAAACAAATATTGATTAAATTCATTAAGATTCAGAAGTCCAGTCGGCAAGCACACGTGTGTTTTTGATAAATCCTAGTCGCGTTGGTACATTTACATGGGGACGGGATATTATCTAATTTATCTAGTTATCTACTTGCCCGTATATTTTTCATTACCTCAATAGCCATATAAATTTATAGGCCTGAAGATAATTCATCGAAAGCAGACGTATGCTCGCCAAATGACCTTTTGAAATTTACAATGGGAATTCTCGCAACTCCAAGGCGGGATATAAGTAAACGCGTGAGTGATAGTAGAAATCGATTAGAGTTGATCTTTTCATATAAGTGAAATGTGGGAACGGTGAGGGAGGGGAAGGAACGGACGACAGTGATTTATGAAGCAGTGAAAGTTAGGGGGAAATGGGCGGAGAATGCCTTGACTTGCATTCGAATAACCGATATTTGGCCAAGGTGGATGTGAAACTCATAGCAGATTCTTATGTGCGCACAGGCTCGACCTTCGCAACCTGATAGCATTCGCCTAACAGTCGCTGACCCTGTCACTTAGGATTGTTTGGTGGGGTTCGATAAATCACACGGAAGGCTTCCTTAGGGTCTGTGGCGAGATACCAAACCAATTCACCATTGGCAATCTAGTCTCGTTTTCTTTTATCGAACGTGACGAAAACAACTCGGCTGGAGTGCTCCGCTGTTTTGCTATGCTGTCAGGTCTTTTTACGTCCTGAATAAGAGGTCTCGAAATTCATGACGTCTGCATGCTTTGTCACCTTTGTCTTATCCAATATTGTTCACTAACCGGCTTTACTTATTGCTCTGCATACTAAGGGCCCCTGAGAACATTGGCGTTTACGTCAGGTTGCCACGATGTCCGTAATCAACAATGTACCCTTGCATCGTATGGACCCCAGTGAAGTCTTCCATTTGATTTACAAGGTCCCACCAAACTACCCCATGTCACTGATTCATTGTCTACTAACTACTACAGGAGCGACCCCATCTGATTACAAAACGCCGGCAAGTTGAGTCCACCGACATGAGTATTTGTTTTGAATTCGCCGCTTAACAATACTCATAAGTGTCGTCTTTATCGACTTGACTTTTCACGTACGTCGTCAGCGTTTTGGGGGAGACTATATGAAGCCATATGTGGTTTTTCGTATTTGACGGGCTAAACCAGAAGGCGCCATCGTCTGATTAGTTGTTGAGGCAACACTTATTCCGCCGTTTCATATGTCGTCCATTTTAATTTGACTTACGCCATAAACCACCTTTTCGCTTTAGGTCTCAAGTCCTCGAGCGCAAAACATATTTTAACAGATCAAGCCTTGTTTTCGAGTACGCCTGAAATACGTGTGTGGTGGTGGGCTCTTTTGACCGTCAAAGAGACCTATCACACCCTCCCCACTGCCTTCCGTTCACCCAAAACACCTGCCAATCACTGCGTACGCGTGTTTGACTCGGCCTTCTGCTCGCGGCCATTGTGACTCCGATCGACATTTGGGTCTTTATCGATTGGCTGCAACCGTAAAAATCTCAGGCACAGACGCACATACACTCCCCCGCTGGCACAAGGCTGGTGAGTCGACTTACTGCCACCGTTGGCTGAGTCGCGTGTCGGCTCTCTAGCCAATAATTCTGACTTCTCTGACTTCTTGTCTGGGGAAACCTCGAGTTGCAGACCATCGCGCATTGATCGAATCCTTTGACATTGTGCTTCTATGCTTATTGCCAAAATATCTGAATAGTGCATCACTAATTATCTTATTGAAAAAGTAGGTAAGTACCTGAATGACCATTTCTAGCTTGCTAGCTGTCGTCAGCTAGTCATACTAAACCCTGAGGTGTGGGACACCTAGGGATCGATCCCGCGACCTGTTGACTAGAAGTTCAACGCCCCTATCCACAAAGCCACTGGCCCGTTGTCCTGTCGGTTGTGATCGGGAATATACAATGGCAGAGGGGCGCTCAGCGATCGTTTTTACGGTGTTCGCTAAAACAGTCCTGACGGCCTTTACTTATGATGCCCTGCAAACTTTGAATTTGCTTTTGCCTGCATCGAGGAAGGCCAATTCGACGCGTCTACTTACGACTGGCCGAACATTTATTTCGGAACCAACTTTCGAATTTCAGCGCAGATTAAGCGATGCAGGCAGGAGGTTGTTTGAAAAACCCTCTAACCATCCTATAATTCCGTAAACGGCAATGAAAAATGTCAAAAAACTTCAAAACAAAGATCGGTCAACCAAATGAACACCATACTTCTAGAGCTTCTTGGAAAATTTTGGTCAACCATCATGAGAAATGGGGCAGTTGGCAGCGTTGGCTTTCAATAGACCTAGATATCCGCGTAGAATGTAACCCTTATTTCACTGGGAATATTGTGAAACAGAATACACACATTAAATCGACCGTTCGACCGTCATTACCGACGATGCCCACTGTGTGCTCCAAAACAAGGCGAAGCAAGGACGGTGACTTGTGCGCGAATATGGTTATATTTGATGTAGACTTGCACAGCATCTACCGCACTCTCTCTTCCCTAGTCCCCACCTAGACCCGGTGTCAAGACAGAGTCAAGAGGACCGGAGGAGGGAGAGGGTGCAGGCGGATGGCCCGGTCGAGCACGCACCTTGGCACTCCACGACGCACCCGCTGGTCCACATTGCAAATGAAGAGGTTTCTGACCAATAACCAAAGGGTGCCTGGCACGGTCGGGGCCTGGCGTGAGCCTCCGCTCAGGCACGTCACCACACCTCCCCTGTGTGGTATTTTTATCCCCCCTTGGGTCCAGCACATTTGCCACGGAACCCGTTGTAGGGGTCCATTTACCACATTCAGTCGCATCATTGGCATCGTACATTCCATCTCAAAACAACACCGGCGTAGTGAGCCTCACATCCTCCTGAATCACCTTGATCAAGCTGTCTCGGGAACCCTCCCAGCAGCAAGTGTTCGCACATCATTCTCTACTGACCCTATTTTGCGCAGAGAAGGCAAGGATAGGCTGCCACCTCAGACCGCCTCAATGTGCATCAACTCATTGACTTGCTCCTGTGGAGCGGGTTGTATTGGTCGTACGGATCGGCGCCTTTCCAAAAGAATACGAGAGCTACTTCCCGCATGGCTGGCAAAAAGGTAAAACTAGGAGAATAGGCAGCGCCATCCTTGCGCGTGCTGTGGATTCAGGGCATCGTGTGAACCCCACTGAAGCATTTCGTGTGATTTACAAGGCACCCTCGAGCTGCCCTAAGCTACTGGGCCAGCGCGTGTTATCAACAGCAGAAGCGGTTGCCATACGGTTACGAAAACCGACCCTATGCGCACAGAAAAATCTCGGTCAGGCTCCGCGCTTACCGTGGTCGAAGGAGTTATTTTAAAAAAACAAACTTTTATCGATTTTTTTCACTCACTGTACCCCGTCCCATATAACTGTACTGGTCTGACGAGAAGTTATCGAAAGTAACGTTCACTCGCCGCCTTTTCTTCTGAATTCGGTTTATTTATTCTGGCAAATATCATTACAATAAATAAGTTACAAACTAAATCGATTATAAACTGACTTACCGTAAAAAAGGCCTGGGTAACCACAGCAAATGTTGCCAGGACCTTTGAACCGAACAATTTCTGATCGAGGTAAATTAGGAGGATGGTTCCGCAACTTGAAATCACGAATGCCACTATCTGTAAAATCAGAAATGGTAATATATTATTTAATTCCTACTACTGAACAAACGACTGGCGCAATATTAATTTCTCTCCTTGCTTAAGGCTCCTCTCACGGCACAGAAATGTTTCACAGGAATTATTCAAAATGTGTTTACAGCTCTGATCATGAATCCATTTCCTTATTCATTTGCGAACAACGTCTTGAAAAAGTCATTATTTGGTTGAACTCCTAAGATACATAAAAGGAAGAGAAGGTTATCAACATTAATCCGCGGAAATAAAGCCGAGTCCCTCAAAAACAGACATTTGAAAACTGCGGAAAAAATAAAAGTGTCACTGTGTGCGCAGAGAGCATTTATTTAAATAATTATAGATGGTTTTTAAATAGTTATAAAGGCATCAGGGAATAACACTGAGTTGCACCTATGCCTGAAGGTATTTTATAGCCTTTAAGAGTTTTCTAAAAGTTGAACCGGTTGTCCCATCACATGCCGATGACTTCTAACCCCTTAGATCGTCATGGTTACTTCATGCCTGAAAGCTCATATAGACAAGAGAACTGATATGGGACCAGCCGAATGTGCATTTAACGGCATGACATTGTGGTGCCAGCGAAATTGAAAACGGATTCACACGGAACTAAACAAAGATTTCACTTTTCAAGTTATACCGTCCATTTAATGTTACTCGGAAAGTTGTCCCTATTAGACTCTGGTTAACATGGCACTTAGACTGTGGTAAACGACGATATCCGATAGTTCGACCGTCGTGGCCGACGATGACCACCGTGCGCTCCAAAACAACATGAAGCAGGGACGGGGACTTGTGCGTAAATATGGTCATAATGGATGTAGACTTGGGCATATCTACCGAACACTCTCTTCCACAGCCCCCACCTGGACCCGTTGTCAAGAGTCAAGAGGACCGGAGGCGTGGGAGGACACAGCTGAATGGCACGATCGAGCCCGCACTTAGCGCTCCACCGCACATCCGCTGGTCCACACCAACAACAACGACGGGGAGGGCGGCAGAGCTCCCAGTGTGTGCGACGTCTGCCGGCAATCGGGTCTGCCATCGCACCCCGAATTGTTGGCATTTGTTATAGTGTGCATTTTCGATAACGCCTGCCAGAAACCGATATGGCCCCCGTATTAGACTAGCGCAACTATCGCGTGGCCCATTTGGGGGTAGGGAGACAGCGGCAATATCCACCGTGTTCCCCACAGCGTGATGGGTGCAGGACGGTAAAATGAGTGTGAATTCGTTTATAGTGATACCATGCTTGCACGGTATCCTACACATCCTACAGTGCGTGACCGATCTCATGAAATGTCAGCTGAAATTCTGAAATGTGTTTTCGATTAGGAAGAATTGCTTAGGTGGGGTTGTAATATTGATTAGCATTAAGCATAATCCTATAGTATTTCGGATTTGCCAGGGTGTCGGCTTTTGAATGCTCTTCTTTTTAACCTCCTGCATAAACCACATTCGGTAAGAAATGACTGCTGAATTAGCATGCATTTTCCCTACTGATTTGCGATAGTCGTATAAATTCAGATATACTTTATAGAAACAATTCACAAAGTGTGCTTTATTTTGCCCGTTTGGTAGAAAATCACATTGCCTTCATATTGTATATCCATAAAAAGTGTATACTTAAGCTTTAAAAAGTTTTCAGTTATGAGATTTTTGAGACCATGCGATGTCCATGCATGCATAACCACACATGTTCGTTTACCAATGCTCCTCATGAAATGTACAACACAGCCCGTATCCATTGCAAACTTTTATGAACTCTACGTGGTATCTTCATAAAAGCATAGAGCAATATATGATTTTCTATAAGCGGCAACCACGCAACTTGTAGACTGATACCACCAAATGCTGATGCAATGGCAGATCAGGCTCAAAATTTTTCGGGAATCGGAAAACTTCCTCGAAATCTAAATATACACTTTTTCAGATATAGAATATGAAGGTAGTGTGATTTTGTTTTAGCTCATGAAAACAAACATACGAGTAATAGCAACCAGGTAGGTAAAGATGTCCGTGAACAAAGTAAGGGCCACGCTTCGCTGACGTATAGTGCAGTCAAATGCAGGCATAGCAACTATTATTGCATGAGGGTTAGATGAAAACTCTACACTAGCCTGTAGGAACACCAACCCAATGTACGACGGTCAGATATTTAATCTGAGGTTGCTGTGCGCATTCCAGAGATCGGGCAGATCTTTCAGTTTTGACGTCACGGGACTATCGGCAGAGACATTGTGTGAACTTGCCTATTCGGCCTCAAAGCCTAGTGTATTGGGTGCCGAATCTGCCAAGCAAAACGTCGACGTCCCCCCAACCTACCAAGTTCTGTATCATTCCTAGAACCGCGCAGCACGCACATAATGCGATTCAGATTTTCCACCAAACACGGAAACTCATAATCCCTCGAGAGCGGCGAAGATCAGACGATCGTCTACATAGCCCATTTGTATTAGCGTAGTGTGGATCACGCTACCAGCACGTATGTCCTCGTTACACCCTCATAAAAAGTTCATTAATTATCTGCCATCAAGTCAACGCATTACCGGGCCAATCGTGGACCAGGGCTGGTATCTAATAAAACAGCTAACGTTTTGCGCTTCAGTCGTCAAGAGTGGACAGTCGATCACACGACTCACAACACAACAGACTCCGCGAAATACTATCATTGAAATTGCTTGATTGCTGAATTGAGAGAATGGAGAATAATGGGGAATCCGGTCCTGGTATTTTTGCCTTCTGAGTGTTAAATCTTCGATTGTCGTAAACCTTTGAGTGAAGGTGGGGCATAAAACCCACCAGGGATAGTTAGGTGAAGTTCTCAATGGTTTTCAGACAAAAAGCCGCAAAAGGATTTGCGCGGTACGCGGATTTTCACTTCCACTGTCCTTATTGACGTTAAAGTTGTGCGAATCGGGCTCAAGAGTAGGGTTAGGGCTACGGGTAGGAGTTGGCTTACCCTTAAGTTTAGGAATGCCAAACTTGCCTTATGGGTTGGATATGGAGTTGGGAATTGAATTGGGGTTTTTACCATCGGGTTGGGATTTTAGAGGTCGGGTTAAGAATTAAGGCTATGCTTTAGGATAAGGGTTAGAGTTTTGCAGTCAGGATAAGGGATTGAATTCCCGGTGTTGGGGTTTTAAGGCTTGAGTTAAGGTTACGGTTATGGTCGAAGTCTCCGTAAGTGGTTTAGGGTTAAGGGTTAGGGTTATCCAGCACAAGTATGTCCACGGTTGGTTTTGGGTTAGTAGTTAACCAAAGTTGTCCCAATGGGGTTACTTATCATACCCTTGCCGAACTTTGGATTCAACTTAATGGAAGTCACTATTTTGATTAGAGACTTTTAGCAGCATAATTTGACGACGTTCATGTCATCTAAGAAGTCAAGTTCGGCAGACGTACTCTTCGGATTATCCATCATCAGGACAGTATCGTAATATAAGGGAGAGTAAAATAGCAAAAGTTAAATATCCAATAAAAGGCAGTATGGAGGAAGGGGGTTGAAGTTGCTCAGATGTCAGGGGTCGTAGTCTAGTTCTGTCAGGGGGCTCGAGAGGAGGGATAAGAAAGTTTCAATTTCAGATTATTTGAGGGAAAAACAGGTGTTGAACCTTTGAACACCCTGTTTGTTACAAGGAAGCAAATTATATCAAACATTTGAAAATGGAAACACCAAACAGCTACAGAAGTTTCTTTCAGATTGACAAAGTTTTCGAAACCAGTCAGATAAACGAATGGTTCCAGGAGTTGAAGGCATTAACATTAGTAAATGTGCTATACAGTCGTCAGTCTACGGATAATTAATGCGATCTCAGTTTCTGAGGTCGACGAATGTCTCTGTTTCATCGCTGTAACGAAATGTTGCAGGAGGTGTGAACAGACATGCGGCGTTAGTTCTTACCCAGGGAGCCTTATTGCCTGTAAAAACGCATCATGCCTGCACAAGGTTGGATTGGCTAACCATATGGCCACTGCCCCTGCCGTCGCAAGCATCTGCTGACGCAGGAACTTGGAGTGTCTCGCCGACACTTTGTAGATGACTCGGAATGCTTGATTGACGTCTACCCGGTGGCAGTTGTCGACTCAAGAGCGCGGATTAGTTTGTTCTCCCGAACCCCTCTCGAAGGCGTGGAGACACATGAAATGTGGCAAATCTTTAACACTGAAAATCCACTGATTACTAAGTTTTTAGCATCTGTTTACAGCGATTCTGGTAATATATGGTGAGCTCCAATAATTCTTCACGTGTATCGTCTTGAGCTATACATCCAAATGGACGGAAACATTTTTTACCCAGACACCTTTTGGCCACCTTATGCTGCCGAGACGGCGTTGCCTTAGTTCGTAGATGAAATGCATTTGCTACCCCCCCGCCCCCAAATGACACTCGAATCCACCATCACAGACGACAGCGAATAGATTCAGTCACTGGCAGCGATAAACAAACTGCGATGATGGATTAGGTCAACCAGATCTAGCACAGGCAATACTAATTCAGATGTGGGCAAAGTGACCTTTAATCAGGTGGATGCAAGATAGCTGTCTGCTAAGTCCCCTCTGCGCGATACAGACCTCGCTTGCTTTTCCGACAGTTTCCTCGAAATACCCCGTCCACTTCGGATGTCCGTAGGATGACAAAGATCTATAAGTATCCCATGTGGAAACGATTGTTTTTCATTCCGAGTTTGCGACAATTGGGAAGCAAGATGAAGACATATCGCCTCAAGTGACCCATTTAAAATATTGCAAAGATTGTGTCCTCATCATACACTGTGCAAGAACATCACAGTTCATCACTCGAATTCCAAAAAGGGATTACTTAGGTTCCTTAAAATTCGTATTAGTTCAAATAGTGAACGACTATGCCCGGGCGTCTTGATTGGTTCTTCACTATTATAGTTGTGTAAAAGGAGCTAACTTGATGAAAGTTCAGGGAGTACCTCTTCGCTTCAATAAACTCGAATCCCTATAGAGGAATGAGGAGGTCAAATAATTCAATTCGGTAGACAGATCATTACCGATTTCTGGGTCGCTTTGTAGTTAACTGTCTGACAACCTGCTAAAAAGCCAAGCAAGCACCTTTCTCAAATCTATTAGCATCAGTGTAATCTTGTCAAACTTATTAAAGCAAATTATCTTATTTTTGCAAGCCATACACTTTGAATTTTTCGTTTCGTTCGTGAGGATACTATTTCAGTTTTACTTATCTCATATTTACAAGCTTTTCTTCCACACACGGTAAACAATGACAGAGGCGAATAAATTGTTCAAATCAAAGTTCTCGATGACAATTAGCTTGTAGAAGATGTTTCCAGGTTAACTAGTACCTACCAGAATGACATTCAGTATTGCAAAACAACATCTCACAACCTTCTGTTACACGGTGGACAGTTTTTTGCAGTATCTTAATCTCTTCTGAAACTAATGCACTAGACTGAAGTAAATTTATCAGGACTGTATTTTTCAGGCTTGATGCAAAATTTGACTTGAATATTTGGGCCGAAGCCAATCAGTGGCATTGTGATGGTCACGCGAAATTCAGACTTCCAAACGGAAGTCAACGGTATAAACATATTGCACGATTCACCATACTGACAGCCCGGGTTTGACTAAAAAATCAGACACATGTCTGCCAACTCTGTATTGTGCATGAGAAGTTTGTCTTATCAACAAGCCCTCCCCGCGTTCTATGTGCGGTTTCTAGTATGTACTCCGGCTGCGAAAATGTTTTTTTCTCCTCATGTTTTCATTCGTAGTAAATTCTTTCGAACTAAAATTTTCAGGCCCGATTCAAGTGATTTTCTCCAAGTTAGCACATTAATTTCCGGCCAGATTAAAAAGAAGGGGGGGGGGGTTTCATATGCGGCATCAAATTATCGTTTTATAAAATCTGCTCGACAAGTAGCTTACATTCTGCCCGCGGTCTGACTTACAGTAGATGGGCTAACTCATGAAATGTCAACCGAAATTTCGAAATGCGTTCTCGCTTCGAAAAGATAAATTAAGTAGTGTTGTAAAACTAATCATGATGCAGCATAAAGCTATAAGGATCCAGTTACCTCAGGGTGTCGGCTTCCGAAAGAACTTATTTTCGGCTGCATGCCAGATCTATACTCTGCAACAAATGACTACTTAAGTAGCATGCAATTTTTGCATTGATTTTCAATGCCCTTGAAAATTCAATTATATTTCATGGAAAAAATGCATAAACATATTCATTCTTTTATTTATTCGGTAGAAAATTACGGCTTCTTCCAATTTCATATTCAAAAGAAGAGTATAATTCAGTTTTTAAAAACTTTTCTAATTCCCCAATAACTTTGAACCCGACCTGCTGTTACACTTGCATTCAGGGTTTCAAACCTACAAGCTGTATATTTTCCATGTACGGAAAACCATGCATTTCTCTACGATGTTAAGAGGAGACCATATGAGGTTCATAAAATTAAGCAATGGATTTGAGCAATATTGTTAACTTTACAATCCACATTCATAAATGCAGATACATGACGTTTCACGAACGGCCATTTAACGGTATTAAAAAATCTCACGATTAGAAACTTTATTGAAACCGAATCGTACTCTTCTTTTGAGTATGAACTTGGAAGAAGACGTGATTTTCTACCGAATGAATATTTTATGCATGTTTTCCATGAAATATAGTTTACTTTTCAAGGGCATCAAAAATCAATGAGAAAATTGCATGCTATTTAAGTGTTCATATTTGCAGAGTATAGATCTGGCATGCAGCCGAAAATAAGTTCTTTCGAAAGCCGACACTCTCAGATAACTGGATCATTATAGATTTATGCTGCATCATGATTAGTTTTACAACACTACTTAATTTATCTTTTCGAAACGAGAACGCATTTCGAAATTTTGGTTGACATTTCATGAGTTAGCACATCTACTGTATTTGATTGGCCAAGGTGACCTTCTATTCATGCAGTGGTAGGGCGCTTGCAGAGAGCGAAATCTCCAGGAAAGGCCAAATGTTAAGGAATCGACTCACCCTCGAGGCCAGGAACCGCTTGTGTAATATAATCCAACTGAAGAGGTAGAGGTAGCATGGAGAGGTGCAAATTATGACGACGCAATCGATGAGCGGCAACTCCTGCAGACTGCGAATTAATGAGTAGACGTATGCCAACCAGAGGCAGGAAAGGAATAGTGTTCGACTGAGAGCCAATCGCCAGTCCCGTCTGTCTTGAGACAGAACGAACAGGAAGTCTCTGCAGGGAAGAAGAGGCTGGCTTATTTTTTTTCAACTTTCAGATTGCCCCCCCCCCCTTGTAAAGCAATTCATGCGAAAGGAAGGTTAAATTGCTCTACCACGACCAGTCGGGGAGAAGGTAGGATGATAGTTGGTAGCCCTGCCCACTGATTCTACAATTGTACTTACTGGCTCGATTTCAAGCTCTGTGATTACGTTCTCATTATATCTGGGAGTGCACGCGCAGAAGTCCTGTCAGGGTGACTTTCTTCTTCACTTTAACCGTCCCGAGAACGAGGCGCTGCAAAAATGTCTATATAGACTCATTGTATTGCACTCCTACACGAAAATCTTTAGTAAAGGGCGAAAGATTTATCCTAGGCAAATTATGATTAATCATGCTTCTCATGATGCTTCTAATTGCATGCGCGCACTGTGTTACCTGTATCTGATTCATTTTAGAGGTACTATCCTAGGCTGCATACCACAGTACCCAGATGTTACCTAAAGGCATAACCATCCGTGTGCTATCGCAGTATTTGTAAGGGCATGACCTTTCGACATCTACATAAGACCCTACAGGTCAGTAGTCCTTTCTGTTGGAGATACTGCACTAGGTAGGACGACTGGATTATTTCCAGGATCCGGGAATAATCTGTCGACCTATCCAGTTGCGGTCCTGCCTTCCTTCGCCTTCTAAGAGACTGGGCTCTGCAGGCAGAACAAGGTGTAACTTCATATACAGAGTGCCAAATCCTCTTTACATTGTATAGTACACGATTCACGCATAGCAAACAACTACTGCCATAGTTTTCATCCTAGATGTGGCCACAGTGACAATACACTATTATTTGCAAATTTTATCTTTCGCCCAAACATATTTTTCGCGTTAAAGTCTTAACCCATCCTGCCGTCCTGCGTGCCGCTGCTTGACTTTCGTTTTCTCATGTCCATTCTGTCGGTTAGAGTATTATCGCACATACTGCGGAATGACCTTAAGACACACTGTCTTCTTCCTATTGGTTGTTCGCCTTCACTTGCTATTCTTTCCAATCTGGGGCAAGGATGCATTTATTCCGCATACCGTACTAATTATCCATGCTTATTTCTATACCCTCCTTGCATTTTTCACCTTATTTAAATTAGGCTTCCACTTTGCCAGGAACGTCAATTCCAGGCATACACTACAAGCGCCATTTACGTCTCCACTCATCTGCCCCACCCGCATAGCCCCTATTACCACTGGTCGCGTAAGACAGGTAGCTTGGAGTTTTCGGTACCGGGAGGGCTACCAACTACCATCTAACAGGGGAGAATATATATAAAGAAAGCGCATGGGTTTTTAAAAATGCAATTTTCTTTCTCTACTTCCGTATGTACTACGACGACGACGACGACGACAAAAACAGGAATCATAAAAACAGTCCTATATCCATATATGTCAGAGCAGATAGCCTCATCTGGTGGCCGTAAACAACTACTTTTTGCATACAGAACACTTAATATTTTGATGGTTAAAAAGCCATAATGTCTCTTTCGTGTTCCTTCACTGCACTGTCGATGAAAATGCATCTAGGGAGTCGTCAAGATAACGAAAACAGGGTCCATTAAGACCGTGTTTTGTGCGCTCGTAACATTACAAACAACAAGTACTTGATAAGCAATAGACAGAAGAATCGCAGAACTTACGTCGTGCTTGTCTTCTCGACTCCGTCTTCTTTGGATGATTTATATTTTGGCCAACAGAGGACCGCAGGTAGCATCAGACCCATGCCTGATGTGACCATGTAAGTGAGGAATGTTGGCGGATTGGTAATCTTAAAAAAGGTCGACGGTATCGGTCTTCACAATTCTTCACCCGAAAAAAATGAGTTAACAGGGAGTAAAAGTTAAAGTGGAGATTTAGCAGAAGCTTGGTGTGGATACTTCGCTATGCGGTTATACTGTGGAGTTGTAGTCTTTTTTAAAGGATTCTACTCGCGACAGCGATATAAGCTTAATCTTTACCGAATAGTAAAATGGACAAAATAAAGACAACTGTATTCAATGCATTTTACTTAAAATCTAAACTTGAAAAGTACACACCAGCCTTTGCTTCAGCCTGACATTTGTCGCATTTTGTGATTTATGTCGCAAGCATAAAGACGTCGGAAAACAGCCTGTTGCACCATTCATCCCTGCGCATCGCGCCCAGATTTACAGGGCAGTGCGTGTGTTATGACAAGGTTTTTTGTTTACGACACAAAGTAGACACTCGCTCATGGGCACACTTGCGTCCCTACTGTCTTTGGATGCGAAGAACGGTTAATGCCATTTTTTTCTGTACGGCGTCAGAGGTATGGGAACTTTAATCGTACTTTTGGCCATTGTCGTGTCCTGTTTGTTTAAAGTATTATTATAAAGTAGTCAAGTGAGATGTTATAAAACACAACCTGTTACACAGCAAACCCAGACAGTTTGATCGGATGCATGCGTCTGCATTTCAGTATGACTCGTGCAGTTGCAGCATGAGAGCGGATGCACAGATCATCATCATCATCATCATCATCATCATCATCATCATCATCATCATCATCATCATCATCATCATCATCATCATCATCATCATCATCATCATCATCATCATCATCATCATCATCATCATCATCATCATCATCATCATCATCATCATCATCATCATCATCAACCTCATCATCATCATCATCATCATCGTCACCATCATCGTCATTGTCATCATCATCATCACCCCCAACACCAACACCATCACCATCATCGTCATAAGGCAATCAGGCAAATGAGAACGCGTAGTCACACACATAAGGTACTCTATTTTAGTTTTTGATTTTGAATATTTATGTATTTATACAACTAGGATATTTCCCGTTTTCAGGTTTATTTAGGAAGTATTATGTACAATATCGCTCCTGGCAGCTGATCGCTCGCTTTCTTACTCTCCCCGGAACTGTCTGGGAAGTTTGAATAGTATGGGTCTAACGTACTGCGAGTTCGTGTAAACAGCCACTGAAAAAGTTATAAAGTTCAGAATTTCGGAGACCTATGCAAATGGATTGGGTGATATTGCCTTTACTGATCAAGCAGAGCAAAGAAAAGGTCTTTACGTTTACTGCTCTTTCTGGGAAAACGCGTAAATAAAACACCCTACGTTCTGTGTTTCGTTTTTCCGCGACACTGTTATGTTGTCCAGGCTGACGTTGGGCGCGATTGGCACGTAATAGCAGTGCTGAATGGCAACCATGAAGGTCACGGAGGCCATCGAGAACACGATGAGCATGGAGAGGCCGAGGAGACAATGGCAGACCACACGCAGCATCATGAAGCAGGAACAGGTGGCTTTTCTCTGATTCCCCTGTGGTCTACGGCCTAGGGAACCGCCGAGGTACTCGCAGGCGGTGCTGTCGTTCGCTTGAATATCGGTGCCGGTTTCGAGTGATAGTGTATCCAATGATTCGTAAATTTTGCCTGAGGCAAGGGAGGTAGATGGCTTCATGCGCTTGGCGTCGGTATGTGGCCTGGAGATATACTTGCCGAAGCGTCGAATCTTAAGGAGATAGAACAACCCTGCGAAAAGTACACTTATCGAATTAATAAAAATAGACTTTCCGGACTTGCATGACTCTATGAATTAACGAAGAGGGTCAAGTGCTGGCGAAAATTTTGTGCGAGTCGGAACGGCATCTGAACGCTGGACTGTTTATGGCCCCTTGCTGTGTATGCACTTTTACAAGACAATTAACACATTCAGTCAGAGCGTTGTGAATTTACGGATGGAAAGCATAGAACTGATCACAAAACACAAAATTATTCAAAATTGTAAACTTCCTTCTATGAAAAAAACGCCAATATTTATGTTACACTAAAAGAGTGGAAAAAGCAAAATCAGCGTTTTTTTAGAAATATGCAAGAGAGAGTTTATCACTATTTATCGTTGACACATTATGACACGTTGGATATATCTGAGACTGCTTGAAGTGCTCATAGTAGGTTTTATCAAGATCAGCAAATATGTTTTGACAGGTTTTTGATGGGAATTTCGATTTGGTCTCCATTTTGACGAAGGTCGAAACGCAGAAGCTATTTGCAAGCTTTTATTCAGCTTACAATGTTGTTGATCGTAAACGTTTCTTCGACTCTGCAATATCTACCAAATTGTTCAAATCGATCGAAGTAACACATAATCAAATCAGCTGGGCAGTTGGCCACATTCCCTAATCGACAGATTATACTGAGAAAAGTTTGCATAAAACGCTTGCATCATTTGTGTCACGAATTAAGTCGGTCTAAAAGGAATAGTTTTCTTGGCTAAGAAACCGCATGACTTTTCATCTTAAATTAGTTAAAAATTAGAGCTTTCTGAATGGGAGTTCTCTGTCTAGAAACAAAAGCTTATAGTAGGATTTCTCGCTAGTAACGAAGGTCGGGACTGCGTCCAGTATGCCTGGTTCGTATCCACTAAACGGAAAGGCTTCAGTGGGCATCCGTCAGCCCTCAGGATGATGAGTACAAAAGTTTCGTCACTTACGATCCAGTCAAATGGGATGTAAATGAAAGTCAGTAGTGCTTATTGTTGCCCCGTTTTGTTTTTTCCGAATCCTCACATTGTGACAGGGCTTTTCGCCACAAAGATGTTAAAGATTGTTTAATGCGGACTTGAGGGCCTATAGTGCAGAGAACTTCATCAGACGCGAGAGTTGAACTGTCTTCTATCTACTTCTCCTTAGAAGGGTCGGCGATGACTTATGGCATGCGTTGTCCGGGGTGGGCTAGGTCTGTGTGGCTTTCTAATTCACGCAGCATGTGCCTACGACAGTTCGAGCGTCGTGTTCAACTATGTTCACCGTGTGCTCCACGACGAGATGAAGCAGGGACGATTGCTTGTACGTGAATCAGTTTATAGTGAATTTAGACTTGCACAGAACCTTCCGCACTCTCTCGCCCTCACCCACCTGAACCCGGTGTCAAGACAGAGCCAGGAAGACCGGAGGAAAGGGAGGACGCACCTTGGCACTCAACCCCGCACCCCCTGGTCCACACCAAATAACCAGGATTTTAAACAATGATAACAAAGAGAATTGAGGCTGGCGAGGCCGAAGCGTCACCTAGGCGCGTCGCCAAACCCGGCTCGGATCCCACTCAGTGGGAGTGTCATAACGGCCACATTAAGAAGAAACCATTTTCGCCTGACTCTCAGACCACCAGCTGACCACTTAACACAAACCCACGGCAGTTGACCGACTGAGAAGTTGAGTAATCCCGTCAGTTGGCAACGTTCCAACCTATGGTTTTTAACCCACCGTGATAGCTTCAAGCGCGTCAGATTGTTTACAGTGAGGAAAATGAGCTGAATCGTCGACCATACTTCCCTTTCCCATTTTCTGGTCCCAGTCACTATCCGATCCCATCAGTTGACTGCATCGGGAAATGGGCGCGGTAGCTGATATACTCTAGTGACCTTGTCTGCGCATGCCACGTGCATGACCTGACGCCCTAAACAAAAGTACCAGGATTTTACACAACAGGGGTTGGACAACACACATCTCACATGCGTGAGAGTGTCGTAGGTCACATTTAGAAGATACCGTTTCCGCCTGGCTCTCGACCCACCAAACACACACACACAAACACACACGACAGTTCGACCGTCGATTTCGACAATGTCCACCGTAAGCTCCACAGCTGCAGCAGCGGTGGGAGTAGGGACGGTGACTTACGCAGGGGTTTATAATGCCAGTAGACTTGCGCTGCATCTACCTACACTCTCTCCTCCTCCCCCGCCTGGGGCCGGTGTCAAGACCAAGTCAAGAAGACCGGAGACGAGGGAGGCCGCAGGTGGATGGCTCGGACGGATCCTCGCCTTGGTGCTCCACTCCGCACTCCCTGGTCCACACACAAATGACCAGGATTTTGACTACAAAACAATGGGGTGGTGGCAGTGGTCCAGTTGTGCGACGAATGCCGACAACAGGGTCCGCCAGCGCAACCCGTAAATGTTGGCATTTGTTATCGCACAGATAACGCCTGCCAGAGTCCGATGTACCCCCCGTGTTGATCCAGCGCATCTAAGACGTGGCCCGTTTTGAGGGCAGACTGCGTGGACTGAGTTGGGGTGCCAGTCAGCGGCCTGCAAAGACAAGTTGCTTGACGCACCGCGAATATTCCTACGACACACACTAACGAAACGCAAAACACCACTCTGGTGTGTTGCTTCCTTCCTGATCGTTCCACCACCGATGAATGAAGTAGGAAAGAGAGAATGAGGTCAGTGTTCGCGCAAGTTTGGGCATACTGTTTTTACGTTTCGGTAGACAGAATATTGTGCGAAGAGTAGGCGAAAGAATGTATGCTTTAGAAGAGCGGCAATAACCAAACTATCATCTACGACTGCTTACATTTAATTCGGCTTGAAGAAATCAGGGGAGACTAAGTGGCAATTATCACCAAGACACTTAAGAAGAACATCTGCTTCGCGAAAATTTCAATTAATACGACAATAGGGGGACTGACGTAACACAAAAGTACGCTTATGATAAGTTATCTAGAAGGTTATTTAAGCTGGGGTCAGTCTGGCCCCGAAAGCTGTTAAGGCTCGCGCGTTAAGTGGGTCGTCTTATTCTAATTCTCCGCAGATTTTATAATGGCCACTTAGTGTGCCAGTTTGAAAGGGCAGAATTCTCAAAAGTACATTAGAGATGCCAAAGTGAGAGTAGACAGGCTAAGTTTAGAGTCCATCTGGGCGGCTTAAAGTCCGTAAGGAGGATTTTTCAAAGAACACAAATGAATTATTTACTTGGAATTGCAATCTATGTTTCCAGTCGTCTAGGAGGAAAAAAGGGCAGTCCATAGTCTTCGGATAAAATGCCTGAGATGCTGCGCTTCCTTAAAAGCCATTGGCTGTCCCATGGCGGCTGGCAAACACATTTTGGCGGCTGTAAAGGCGCCTTATCAAATTGACGAATCTTCAAGGGCAGAGCTTTGTGTAGGCAGAAGAGGTCAGTTCTGATTTATAACAACTCTGCGGCAGCTTCCGGACAATAGGTCTGAATTCGCGAACAGGATAGTTGCTTCAAGTCGAACGCGAAACCGCAAATACCACAGACGAGTTGGTGGGCATAAATCATTACCGCATTGATTGACAGTCTCTTGACACCCACTCACAGAATTCATGCACTATCGGCCTAAAGAGGACCTCATGTCCTTGTTGGAAGTACAGAAAGTGGGCTAACTGGTGAAATCTCAACAGAAATCCCGAAATGCGTTTTCGTTTCTAAAAGATTAATTAAACAAGATTGTAAAACTAATCATAATGCAACGAAATTTTATGATGATCCTGTTACCACAGGGTGCCAGTTTTCGAATTAACGTACTTTCGACTGCATGCAAGAACGAAGACCTGCAAAAAATGACTAATTAACTAGCATGCAAGTTTCCCATTGATTTTTGATGCCCCTTAAAATTCAACTATATTTCATGGAAAATATGCATACAAATGTTCATTTTTCTGCTTATTAGGTAGAAATTTACATTTTTTGAAAATATGTACTCAAGCGATGGGTATAATTTGGTTTTCAAGAACTTTTTAAATCCCAGAATAATTTTTGATCCCGATCTGCGGTTACATTTGTATTCAGGGTTTGAAGAGTACAGGCCGTATTTTCTGCGTACGGAAAACCATATATTTCTCTACGGAGACCATATGGGGTCCATAAAATTAAGTTGTGGATTTGAGCAATATTGTTAACTTTGAAAGTCACATTGACAAATGCAAAGACATGAGGTTTTATGAACGGTCATTTCACGGTAATAAAAATCTCATAATTAGAAACATTTTGAAACCGAATAATACTCCCCCTTTGAGTTTAAAATTTGTAGAGGACGTTATTGTCTACCGAATAAATAAAAGAATGGATATTTTTTATGCCTTTTTTCATGAAATATAATTGAGCATTTGAGGGCATGGAAAATCAGTGAGAAAATTGCAAACTACTTAAGTAGCCATTTTTTGTAGAGTTTAGTTCTTGCATGCAGTCGAAATAAGTTCGTTCACAAGTAGGCACCCTGAGGTGACTCGATCATTATAGAATTATGCTTGACGATGATTAGTTTTACAACCCTACTTAAGTAGTCTTTTCGGAACGAAAACGCATGGTTGGTTGGATGACATTTCATGTTTTAGCCCACCTACCGTATATACGTCTTCAGGAATGGGTCCAAACCGATATATTAGCTTTTCGAAGCAAACAAGCTTCGTATGGGTAATGTGGGTCATGTTCTTCTGCCCCAGCTTTGTCGGTAGTACCATTCTGCCCATAGCATGTGCCAATGTTCGACTGCTGGTTGGGCTCGAGAGAAAGCCCCTAAGACACAACGGCACGAGTGAGGTCCGTAAGAATGATCGATGAGCGCCTCCTACCTTCGTATATTCCCGATCGAAAACCGACAGGGCAACGGGCTCGTGGCTCAGTGGTTAGAGGCGTGGACTTCTAAAAACAGGTCACGAGTTCGAGCCCCTAGGTGTTCCACACTTCGGGATTGAGTATGCTTGGATGGAGACGGGCAATAAGCCAGAAATGGCCATTTCAGTCTCCCTTGTCTTTGTCGGTAATCCCATTCTGCCTATGTCGCGCGCTGCTGTGCGTCTGCTGGGTGGGTTCGAGAGAGGCCTAAGGCGCTACGGGACGAGTGAGTTCCGTAACGCGATCGGTGAGCGCCCAGTTTCCAATGGCACCCGAAAGGACAAGGAGTCCGTGGCTCAGAGTTTTGGGGCTGTTTCTGGCCTACCAGCCATCGTCAGCCAGTCATACCCAACCTCGAAGTGTGGAACACCTGGAGCTCGATCCCGTGACCTGTTAGTTTGAAGTCCAGCACCTCTAACCACTGAGCCACGGGCCCGTTGTCCTGTCGCTTTCGATCGAGAATGTACAGTGGTGAAGGGGCGCTCAACCTCCCATGTTATATGCCCGATGGCACCCGAAAGGACAACGAGTCCGTGGCTCAGTGGTTAGGGCCTTCAGAATTCTGACCAACAAGTCGCAGGATCGAGCTTCAGGTGTTTCATACCTCGCGGTTTGGTATGACTGGCTGATAGTGCTAATAAGTCAGGAATGATTATCCTAGTCTGTCTTTTCTTTGTCGGTAATGTTATTCTGCATACATATATATATATGCAATGCTTGCTGAAGTACCGACACGCCAGTCGCAGACAGTTGTTTCGACGTCACTACTGATCGACGGCCGCCATGAGCCTATGATTGAATATGGATATACAAAATTGCCAAGCATGTGATTAACCCTCATTTTTATGGTAAGGATCTTGCTGTGCTGCTGAAAACTAAACCTTTATGAGCTACGTGATAGGCTTCTGGCGTAATGACCGTGATGAAGCTGTCTGAGGCAATCAATTCATGTATTGCACGCGATGTGTCTTTCCCGGCGCAACGTCTGTTGTCACCAGAATCCCAGATGGCTGGTGGGAAGAATGGGATCAGGCAAGATTCCAACCCCGACAAATGGTGGTTGAGCGCCCGCCTGACATAAATGCATATTGTGAAGGGAGTTCAGAAAAAGACAGAACAACAGGTCCTCATCAAATGATAGAAAGCTGGACTCTACGACCAAAAATTTCAGGTTCGAGTTCCAGATGTTCCAAGGTGAAGTTCCTAGGGTGAAGTACGGACCAAGAATTCAAAAATGACCACCGCAGTGTCTCTTATGTTCGATGAAACTGCTTTCAGCGTATATTTACGTTCGTTATCGATCGTATTTGTCGGCTTCAGATCAAGAAACAAGGAAAACGGGGCAGGCATATTTCAAAACCAAACAGGTAAACGCTATTTCAACATATTTATTTACACACATATATACGTATATGTGCATATCACATATGCAGCCACTAAGAGTGCAACAGGCCAGACACATAGGGCTGTTTCACAGTCATTGCCAATAACCATTACGCCATAGACCTTACTTTAATGAGGTGTATAAACATGTCAAATAAGTGTGCAGCTGGGATCTCACTTGCTCCCAGTCTGTCTGCCCGACAACGAAAGTTGTGCTGTCGGCGTCTGGCCAGTTGCATTCTCAGTGGGCTGTTTACGTGTTATAAATGGTTTGTGTCCTTTGACAAAACGCACGTTGCCGCTGTTAACAAGCTGGCGAGCAGACAGAATGGGATGTAGTGGAATCCTAACCACGACAGTGATGGTCGCACGCTTAATTAACACGTATACAGTAAATCTGCTAACTCATGAAATGTCAACCAAAATTTCGAAATGTGTTCTCGTTTCGAAAAGATAAATTAAGTAGTGTTGCAAAACTAATCAAGATGCAGCATAAATCTAAAACGAACCAGTTACCACAGGGTGGCGGCTTTCGAAAGAACTTCATTTTGGCTGCATGCAAGATCTATACTTTGCAAAAAATGACTACTTATGTAGTATGCAATTTTCTCATTGATTTTCGATGCCCTTGAAAATTCAATTATATTTCATGGAAAACATGTATAAAAATATTCCTTCCTTTATTTATTAGATAGAAAACCACGTCTTCTTCCAATTTCGTACTCAAAAGAATGGTATAATTCGGCTTTAAAAAACTTTCTTATTTCCGAATAATTTTGAACCCGACCTGATGTTACACTTGCATTCAGGGTTTCAAAACTACAAGCTGTATATTTCCCGTGTACGGGAAACCATGCATTTCTCTGTGGTGTTAAGAGAAGACCATAGGAGGTTCATAAAATGAAGCAGTGAATTTGAGCAATATTGTAAACTTTACAAGCCACATTCGTAAATGCAGATACATGACGTTTCATGAACGGCCATTTAACGGTATTAAAAAATCTCACAATTAGAAACTTTTAAGTCCGAATTATACTCTTCTTTTGAGTATTAAATTGAAAGAAGACGTGATTTGCTACCGAATAAGTAAAAGAATGAATATTTTTATGCATGTTTTCCATGAAATATAATTGAATTTTCAAGGGCATCGAAAATCAATGAGAAAGTTGCATACTGCATAAGTAATCATTTTTTGCAGAGTATAGATCTGGCATGCAGCCGAATATAAGTTCTTTCGAAAGCCGACACCCTGAGGTAACTGGATCATTATAGATTTATGCTGCATCATGATTAGTTTTACAACACTACTTAATTTATCTTTTCGAAACGAGAACGCATTTTGAAATTTTGGTTGACATTTCATGAGTTAGCACATCTACTATATATGTATTTAAAAGTTAGTAATCCTTTAGAGAATGTAACGAATTTTATTTCGTAAATTTTCGACACTGATTCCGCAGGATGTCTTCACACGTGGGGCAAAAGAGAAGAGACAAGACCACTGGCCCCAGGTTGACATGTGCACGCACGAAACTGGCTATAAAATTACTTGGGACAAAACTCGCATTTCTGGCCTTTGTCCACCTAAGAAAGTCGGAAATTTTCAAAGGCCGTACGCTGCGATAATTCATGCACAAATCGGCGCGTTGAATGAGACGATTTGTACAACTTTATCGGGAGGAAGAATGGAAGAGGCGTTAGCCAATCCGTACGATTACCAACCCACGGTCATGACTCGCTAGCAGAACTGAACTGTCAGCATCGATTTTTAGGCCCCATTTAAAAAACTTCCGAATGTTTTGTACATTTGCTAAACGTGTGAAAACGACTCGAGAATCATGGTCAAGGATTAACGGAATAAATTTTTTTATATTTACCAAAAGACTTGCTATTTTAAATATGTATTGAATAGCATTACCAACAAGAACAAGAGAGACCAAAATGGACATTTCTGGCTTATTAGCCGTCAACAGCCAGTCATACCCAACTCCAAGTGTAGATCACTTGAGATTCGAACCCGGGAGCTTTGGTCATGGAGCCTAACACTCTACCACTGAGCCACAGGCCCGCTGTCCTGTCTGCCGTGATTGGGAATATTAATTATGACAGATGACAGGTTTCAGAACATGCTCGTTCCGTTGTGCCTTGGGGTTCATACTTTCTCATCTAATTCACTACTTGTCACTGTGCGACGGATCGGAGAGCGCCCATCTGTTATAGTTGATATATGTATATATATATATATATGTATTTGTTATGCAAAAAACGGGAGATTCTTCGGGATGAAATTCGTTTCTGCCAGCCAGACAAAGTATACAAGAGAAAAGACAAAATAATCATACTAGGCAGGACAGACAGCGATATAACTGGTCACTTGTGTGCCAGAATGGTAAGTACAGTAGTCGATACAGCAAAGCGGATACTGTCAGATACAGCAGCAAAGCCCGCCCCCCCCCCCCAAAAAAAGTAATCGCAGAGCAGAAATTCTATTTCATTTCGAATGTACCGCGAATCTTTGAACTGGTCATCCGACAACTGAACGGCATTGATATCCGCACCGACCACTAGCCAACGATCGCATTGTGTGCAACATTTCTTCGAATAGTTAGTTTCAAACAAGCGTCAATTGTCCCATCCCACGCGCTCGCTGCTCTTGCTTGTATATTGGTCATACAGGCCTTTAAACTCATATCAGAGAATATAAATTAGCTATTCTTTGGCGTTACCCCCCCCCCCTCAAGTCTTCATGCACACACTCGAGCGTGATCAGTTATTTAGCTGGGATGACACCGAGGTCGTTCGTAATGGCCAACAGAAAGCGAGCGAGAGATTTTCTTAAAGCTTGGTACTTCAATGCATGCGGTATCAACTGAACTGTTGACCTGGACGACAACTGATGTCACGGCTCGACGACTGTTGCCCCTATGTCGCATCAGCGATGCCACCCCTTCCGGTAGAGGGAGCTGTAACCTTTCTACCCTACACCCCACTCGCAAATCTACCGAACATAGGCGCCAATCACTCTCCCATACGTTGCTGGGGTGTCGGCCGCTGTCTGAGCTGTCACGTCAACCGGTCAATTGGAATAACCTAAATTTCTATCTTGTCTTTAGTCAGACGACGGGTTGGTTCACAAACCTGAAAATTCACGAGTTTATTTTGGTTCTCTTCTAAAGATCCCTGTAAGTTTTCATTATATCGATTCGAAATGCGTACTACTTCTACTTTCCAACTATATTAAAAAGAATTGAATACCTAGATAACGATATATATTTGCATTGGAGCGCCAATAATTTCGCAAAAATGTCTTGTTACAAGAGAAAACGTTTTGAGGTAACCCAATGAAAATTCGTCTAATGGAAAAAGGATTATGTAAAAATCGCAAAATGGCGACATATTGTCATCTTTTGGTTTAAATAAACTAATTCGATTGACCACGCATATGATGGAACATCTCTTACATTGATTTCAGAGGCATACCTTTTTGGAAATACCATCGACTTCGAGACTTTGTATATTTGAGGAGGTAGCGACTGACAGGTCCTCAGATCCTCTCATGAAGGTAATATGCTTGGAATGACTGTTGGGATCTGCAGTGCAGAAAAAAGACCTTTATGAAAATAGATTTGTTAGGCTGTTTGGTACAGATTCTTGTCATTCATGATCATTGCACGTTTTCTTTGAACCAGGCATATATATGTGTACATGCCTAGGTAGGAGGGTGTAACGATGGCCGAAATTTCTACCGTTAGCGACGCCGCGATTTCCATCATGCAGGGGAGGAGGTGAAGGTTGGAGTGCTGAAAAATCCGTATATTTGCCCGAAATTGTGCAAATACACTCGGACGCGTTAGCAGAGATATCAAAAGAAATCACCTGTGGATACACAGACGTGAAGTATTTGCAGAATGTGATCGCACTGTGGATACGCACCTAATAAAGTTGGCGGTTGCCGCATTCATCACCGATAGCCGTGCTGTGATACGATGATTGTTTAATCACCCGCAATTTAATCGTCACTACTGGCTATTGCTTGATAATGGCTTGGCAGTTTGGATCGCCGATGGAGTTAGTGTTCTCCTGCGCGTTCCCTGGCTGTCTAATTAATCTAGTCAGGCAAAGTAATATCACCGAATGCAAACGTTGGGGTTATAACGCTTGCTGACACAATTCACACCGCAGCCGCATGCCGCGATAATGTCGGTCTTGTCGAGCTTAAAAGCCTAGTCGTCTTCCGACAAACGATCTGTGACTTGAACATTAGGCCTCTTTCTCCTCACTGCTATTGCATGTTAGGTCTGTCTGTCTGACTGTTCCAGGCTCAGTAAATGATCCAGAAGTTATTAGCGACAAGGACAAGGGAGACTGGAATGGCCATTTCTGGTCTTTTAGTCATCGCCATCCAGTCATACCCAACCTCGAGGTGTGGAACACCTGGGGCTTAAAATCGCGACCTGTTAGTTAGAAGTTTAACGCCTCTAACGACTGAACCACGAGCTCGTTGTGCTGTGGATTTCGATCGGTAATATACAATGGTAGAGGGGCGCTAACCGATCGTTCTTACGGAACTCACTCGTTCCGTTGTGCCTCACGGGCTCCCTCTCGAGCCCAACCAGCAGCTGCACAGCGGCGCATGATATAGGCAGTAATGTTATTACCTCCACCATTGTATATCCCCGATCGACACCGACAAGACAACGAGCTCGTGGCTCAGTGGTTAGAGGCGTTGGACTCCTAACTATCAGGTCGTGAGTTCGAGCCCCAGGTGTTCCGTACCTCGCGGTAGAGTCTGACTGGCTGACGATGGCCATTCCTGTCTTCCTTGTCTTTATCGGTAATACCATTCTGCCTATATCATGCGCCACTGAGCGGTTGCTGGCTGGGCTGGAGAGAGAGAGAGAGCCCATGAGGCACAACGGAACGAGTGAGTTGCGTAATAACGATCGGTGAGCGCCCCTCCACCATTCTTCCAGACATGTCCTGTCGTAGCCGAGAGTCTTTTGCTCCCAGAATTTTTATCTGATGGTAACTAGGACGCGTACTGAACGCCAGCAGTAAACCAACTGCAAACCAAATTGCGAAAAAAGCTTTGGCGGCATGTTGAGACACTTGCCAGTGAAATAATGTAGGTCTGTGAATTACAATTTCGACAGCTAGTGCTTAAGGCGTATGATTACCCACGAAACTTTAGTAACTGGTGTATGAGCAGACAAAACAACTGATCAAATGGGGCGGACCCGAAATTCTGGCAAGTGGTCTCATACGTCAAGAACGTATCGGTAACCTGGATTTGCGGTTGCTCCCGTGACAAAAAGAAACCACTAGGTAGCAAATAATCTGGACGAATGGTCGGCTTTCACGGCAGGAAATCTCTACAGGCGTTTACCAGGTCTGGTGCAATTAATAACAAGGCAACTACGTTGGACAGACTGAGAGACTGCTACGAATGCGGGTTCTCGATCATGCAGCAGCAGTGAGAAAGAGTGACTTCGATACCCAAGTCATGGAAAGTTCGCTGGGATACGACCATACCTCCAAGTCTGAAGTCGCGAGAGCTCCGAGACGTCCGTGCTACGGTTATCCGGTTCGCACTCAATCAACCAGCTGAGTGACCCCTAACTCCACTTACGGCGCCGAAACTTTGTCCGTGCATGGTAAATGATTTAGTGGGAGTACGCATAGAAGCACTGACAGCAGTTACGAGACCTGATCTTGCAATAGCCAGGACTGGTAAGAAAACTGCGAAAGTTTATGTCTCAGATGAACAGGGTCATGAAATAACCGCGGCATGTACGATCATCGGCGACGAACCAGGAAACTACTTATTTTGTCGCATGTGGTTTCTTCACAACAGCATCCCACTAATATTCGAACACGTATGCACCCATCATTTGTGGTTGTTGTCTCTGTCAACAATCTGATTGTCGTAGTAGAATGTCAGGTAAGCAGAATTCTTATTCATATTGACCCAACTGTGAAAAACTCGGCGTCTCGGTGGGATTCGAACCCACGACAGCAAGGGGAGGGCTTTAGTACAGCCAACGTTCCAGCCGTCAGATCTACGAGGCCCTGCCGGGAGACGTGGTATTAAGCACGTTTGCGTCAAGTTGCCCGCCCAGCCTACTAAAATGTCTGGAATTCACCAAATCTGATACACCAAATCTGACTGATCAGGCGGGATTTCCCAAGTGATCCGCCTAGAATCCATCAGGTGACTACCAGACTCACATAATTCATAGATTTTCTGGCAGATCTTCAGTAATTCCTACTGATCCAACTGCGAAAATCTCGGCGCCTCGGTGAGATCGAACTCAAGACAGCAGTAGGCTGGGCGGGTAACTTAACCCAAATGTGACTAAACTCGCTTCGTTCGGCGGGGTCCCGCAGCTCAAGTGGTTAGAGCGTCGAACCCCCACCCCTCTCACCCCAACTTCGTGAAATTAATAACTGTTGCACTGCCGAAACTGCATAAGTCATAGTTGTTTTGGCAGATTTTGAATAATTCATAGTGACCCAACTGTAAAACTCGGCGCCTCGGTGCGATTTGGACCCACGACAGCAAGAGGAAGGCTTTAGTACAGCCAACGCTCTAACAACCTGAGCTATGCGACCCTGCCTAACGACGCGAGTTTAATCACATTTGGGTCAAGTTTACCCGGCCAGCCTACTGCAACATCTGCAATCTACCAAATCTGATACAGTAAGTTGACTGCCCAAGCGGTATTTCCCTAGTAATTCATCTAGAATCCACCAGATGACTACAAGGCTCACGTAATTCATAGATGTTTTGGCAGATTTCGAATAATTCCTGCTTGGACAGTCAACTTATTCTATCAGATTTGGTGGATCCCAGACGTTGTAGTAGGCAGGGCGGGTAACTTGACCCAAAAGTGGTTAAAATCACATTTTCCGGTGGTGCCTCGTAGCGCAGATGTCTAGAGAGTTGACAGTATTAAAGCCTTTCCCCTGCTGTCGTGGGTTTGAATCCCAACGAGGCGCTCAGTTTTACACAGTCGGGACAATATGAAATATTAAAGATCTGCCAAAATATATGTGAAAATCCCTATTACAGATGCCGAGTCTCGTATAATCATGCGTCTAAATTCGTGAAACTGTTCGACATCTTTTGAATGTAATCATATTTTGATTTCTCTTTGACGGAACTTGGGGCATTACTGGAAGTAACCTTAGATATGCTCGTAATCTAACAGCTTTCTCCTTGTTGAAACCATGCTGCTAGTTTAGTAGCTTAATATTTACCTACTAATCTAAAAATATTCTCTCAAAAAGGGGTTTTGGTCCCTTCAGACTAAATATGTTCCTGATATTTAACTGTTAGATGGATGGACTTCGTTGTTTCTCACATCCTCGTGAACTCTGCATGTGTATTCATATGCAATGAACTATGCTTTTATGAATACTAGGAATTTGAGGTGTGGATGTATCGCGAAATCTATTATTCTTATTATGGAAGGCTTTTTATTATGCGAAGATCTTAATATACATCTAGAAATAGGAATCTGTCAAGTAAATGATATCAGGAAGACTTAGCAGTTTATTTCCTATGCACATCATATTAGTACATTTTCAAATATGTGGACTTAATTTGTTACCGACGTGGTGGGATTCAAACTATCCTGCATTTTTAAATGTCGGTAGTTGTCAAGATATGGTCCCAAGTCTTTATTTTTTGTCGGTTATTTATTTTACGCATGACTATTTTGCCCAACAGTTCAGATAGGCGATTTTCTTTTAGACCAAACTCCCTAATCTCCTCATTTTGAATGGCTGCATTCGTCACCTGCCAGCAATTAATTTCCGCCGAGAAATAAACACTCAAACAAACAGCTTTATAAAACATGGATGAATTTTTTAAAAAAATTTTCTCTTATAATGCTCAGCGCTGACGTGCAAGTCTTGCCAGGAAAACAAAAACACGTTCATTAAGGAATTGTATCTAAGAGAATAAACCATTAAGACTGGGAAGGGTCATGCCAAAATAATTGAACGGGTTGCCCCACTGAACAAAGGCGAACTTAAGGTCAACAAATTAAGACTAACCGGAGAAAGGAAAGTGATTGACATTTTACGCATGCAGCTGCACCAGTTAATGCATGACAAAGTGTAACGGAGCGTCTTCTAACCGAGTTTACCAAATTTTGCCCTAGCGTGAACGCAAAAATTATTTTAAGTGAAGAAGAAGAGTCGAGCAGCCGAACACTTTGTTTATTGTTCTGAGCTTTCAGACTCGTACAGGAGTCCATCGTCCGAGGTAGTAGCAGCAACAGAACAAGCTACTACATATGACGATAGACTCTTGTACGAGTCTGAATACTCAGAACAATTAACAATGTGTTCCAGTGCTCGACTCTTCCTTCTCACTTATACATACGCCTGAAAATCAAAATTTCGCCTTTCTTTGCGCAAAACTATTTTTTCAATAAAGAAAAGTGCTAGAAGAAAATTTAATCTGTTTGGTTGAATCCTCAGCAGGCACATTTCTTGTATAGGACCAGGCAGAAAATGTTAGATATGATTAAAGGCATCGACAACGTGCCTTAATAAAGTTTATAGTTTGCCGTGCGGACTGGCTTCAGAAGTGTCAGTTGCTGACGGTAGTTGTTTCGCAAATCAGCTTGTACAGATTAGTCTCTGAACACCTGGCCTAAAAACACTGACGAAGATCCTTTTAAAAACATTTTAGAAAACGAAGGTAAGAAGTCAAATTTGGTAAGATCTCATTTCGTAGTCGTACCTGTTAGGGGTTAGATTAAAGGGCAAGTGTGGGAGTTAGGCTTAGTGTTTAGGCTAAGGGCCGGTTTCGGGGGTTAGGGTTAGGGGTGGGGTTAGGAGCTAGGGTTTAGGGCCAGGGTAAGGGGTTAGCCTAAGAGGTTACTGTTAAAACCCCTATTACTACCGGTTCCGTATGACAGGCGGCTTGTCTACTTCAGGTGCGGCTATGAAATAGGATCCGACCGCGAATTTAAATATCAGTCACGACCGCAAACCTTTAAGTAGTCATTCAATGTACGAAAGCGATTTCAAACGAAAATGTTTTTTTTTCTGCTTTATTATTGGGTTGTTTCCAAGAGAATTCCATTTTGGCGAAATTGCACTTTCGTTTGCAATTTTGGCGAAATTTTTTTCTGCTTTTAATAGTTGGTTGTATCAAAGAAACTGCAACTTTGGCGAATTTAGATAACACCAAACAAAAATAAGTATTGGCGTCTCAGTTATTCAGAACCTCTTAAGTAGTTTCCTCCCTTACATATTGTACTGCGGCTTATTTTAGAGCGATTGCAATTTAAAGCAACTTTTTGTCTTTTTTCTGGACCTCTTAAACAGTAGGGTAATAAAATGTCATCCTGTCATGTGCGAACGAACTTTCCTGTTTTGGCAGCATCAACAGCCTGAAAAAGTTTTAGGAATGTGCCATTCTATTACACAGACACAGTTCTAGGGTCTTTCAGAAAAAGGTCAGCGTTGTATAAAATTTAAGAAATGCGAACGGAGGATAACAATTCATACGCAGTATTTAAAAATCCGAACAGGTCGAATGTGCGCTGAAAAATTCACCTCTCTTTTTTTAACTATAGTCATCACCTCCCCGTTTCGGCTCGGGCAAATGCGGACTAATCTAATTTCACAAACTCACAAATTCCGTTATTTAGAATCACATTGCAGGAAGTTCAAAAGATTAGGCTATCTACTGAGAAGCCCAATGAGCCTCTCAAGCATAAATTTTTGACCAATTTTCGAATTTTTAGCTTTTAAATAGGTTTATAGGCATAAAAAAACTCAATTTATTTTAGGTTTTTACAAAGACGACAAATCTTTTTGTCCACGCTCTCTCTCCGTTCTTGCGTCATTTCTGCCGTCAGTATTTAACTATTTTTTTCCCTAAATCTCACAAGGACGTCGATCGGCGAACAGAGGTATACACCATGTACGAATGCTGCTTGGGCATTAAGGACATATTAGTTCTGAATAGTGATCAGAGCTGGTCTCGGCTTGTCGGCAGAAATTCATAAGCTCCACGTGTAAGATTACACAGGTCTCTAGTGCTATGTGTCAAAAGTAAAAATTTTTTGGTAAGTGATGTTCAGAGAAATATATGACATCAAGACAATGCACGGAGACTCACTTAATGAGCTCCTCATCGCATCAGAACTGTTGGTTCAGCTCCCACACACAGTCCATTAAAATCCTTATCCGCATCTACTCCATTCATAATCTACGAAACTAGGCGTCTATTGGTGCAGAGAGGATCCGCCAACCAATAAAATGAGCGCTTGTGAAAGAGAGTCAGTCTATTGGTCTGTTTTGACCACACGGAAGACGCGGTAGTGGTTTAGAGGTTTAAATAATACAGACCGTTCATTCTGAACTGCTTGATTTCTAGCCTCTTAGGGGTTTCTCATCTCAAAGCTGTTTTAAAAGTGGACGGTAGTTCCGGAGGGGGTCGACCTACGCGTTAAATTGCTTATAATAAAGCGCTGCTATCTAACACGTCCAGGCCACCCACCGACTGCTGAAGGCGACAAAAAAAGATGGGAACGGTAGGATGAAGGACCCCACTTCACTGTTGGTGGACTCTGGATCGTGTCGTACGCGAATGGTGGTAGTAGGAGTTTTACGGACAAGGCAACACGTCAAAGAGTAAGCTGATGAAGTGCAAAAAATACAAAAATTGTTTGGATTTCTGCCTAAAGTCTTACCGTACACATTCGTGTGGCAAAGGAAATGAGCGCCTTAATTAAAAAATGAACAAAATGTAAATTAAGAAAAATAGCGGAGTCCGAGTAATGGTTTGGGATCGTGGGAAGCAATTGCCGTTGACAGTGTAATGTCTAAAACGGCCTGAAAATGGATGCCAAGATACAACCCCATATGGCAAGATTCACGGTCAAACGACAGTTAAGTGGGGTCCATCACCCCACCACTGCCGCAAAAGATTACAGTGGCTAGGCGGAAGTTCAGTATCTGACAAATCAAATAACCTGTCCGCGCCTGTCATACACGGCCTGATCTTACTGCATTTCCGCCATTACTCATGCGGGGAATGTTCACAATTACACGAAGGTGAGACTATCATGGAAACATCGCATTAAAAAGGAGTCACATAGTTTGACTCTCAGTCCTAAGTAAAAACTTGTTATTTTTTCATCCGGTTACTCACCACTCACGGTCTGAGCAGATCGGGACTGCTCAGATTAGTCAGCCTAAGAGATCGGGGTCCATAATCTGAAAAGAGTGACGTGCTCACTGGATAAAGTGGATTACCCTGCTGACGTTTCGGGGAGCTTGGCTGGCTCTCCATTATCAAAGCGTTTAGTGCAAAAATTGACCGGAATTTTGAATAGATGACTGAATTATTTAGCCTTTGGCTCCTAAAGAGGGAGGCGTTGACCTTACATGGGAATAAATTCGAACGGAATATCGGATCAACTGTCGCTGGCGTCTCTAACGCACTGACCATCTGTCTCCACTTGTCAACTAACAGCTGGTAGGGTTGGAGTTTAATTAATCTGAAGTACGCATGAGCAATCAGGCGAAGATACTTAAAGCTCTCCAATAAAACTATCCAAAACAATTTACAATAGGAGAGGAGGATGATTTTCTGGCCGATATCTATACTTATCAGAGGTTTCCGGCTCTCACTCGTGTCCGTTTTTAAGGGAAAAACATTAACGCCACTTTTTGGTAATGCTAATTTGCCTATATTGCATGCCGCTGTATTACTGCCGCCAGGGCTGGAGAGAGGACCCCAAGACATAACGGGCCGAGAAAGTTAGCGATCGGTGAGCGCCCCCTACCACTGTTAGGGATTTGGTGGATCCATATATCCGGTAAGTGAGTCGACTTTTGAATGCCACATTTCGTGCAGTTGACCTGAGCTGCGCTTGTCCAATTTGCGCAGAAATTTCAAGTAATGGAATACGAAGCTGCGATCTGGGCAGGAAATAAGAGGGGCCACCATAGGTGATTTACCTTTTCGCTTGGCAACATCCAGTAGGTGGGTTAGTTCATGAAATGTCAACCGAAATTCCGAAATGCACTTTCGTTTCGAAACGACTAAGTAATTAGGGTTGTAAAACTAACCATTGTGCAGCGTAAAGCCATACCAATTCAGTTAACCCAGGATACCGGCCTTCGAATGAACTTCTTATCGACTGCATTGAAGGGCTATACTCTGAAAAAAAAGACTACTTAATTAGCATGCATTTTCATCATTGATTTTCAATGTCCTTAAAAATTCAATAATATTTCATGGAAAACATGCGTAAAAATGTTCATTATTTTGCTCACTAGGTAGAAAATTACGTCTTCCTCTAATTTTATACTCAAAGGAGGTACATACTTCGGCTTTCAAAAAATTTCCAATTGTGAGACTCTTTAATACTGTGAAATGGCTGTTCAAAAAACGTCAGACCTCTGCATTTACCAATCTGACTTATAAAGTCAACAATATGGCTCCAGACCAGATACATTTTATAAACCTCATACAATCTTTTAATATCGTAGAGAACTTAATACTTTTCTGCTTGCGGAAAATATACGGTTTGTAGTTTTGAAACCCTGAACGTGAGTGTAACGTCAGGTCGGTTCCAAAATTATTCGGGAACTGTAAAAGTTTTTGAGAATCACCACACACACGGCAGTATATCTGTGCATGCTCTCCATAAAATATGTCTCATTTATAAGGGCATTGAAAAGTAAGACAAAAACAATATTGCTTATGTGATCACCTTTGTTTCTGCAAATGATCGTGACGGCAGGCATTCAAAAGCCGGTCTTTTGGCGTGACTAACATATACTGGATTACGTTGCGGTAGACTTAATATTATCACACCACGTAAGTAATTCCTTCTAGCCGCAATCGTTTGAGATAGTCCACGTACCGTAAAATGACACTTCGGGCTCAGATCTCATACCCGTCGTATCAAACCAGTCGCACCACCTATTAAGATGAGATGTCACTCCAGAAATGCGGACATGTGTCACCGCAGTTACTAATGACTAATCATCAAATGACAGCCTGTATGGACTGCCGACTCTCGGCTTCAAATAAAAACGAGTGTGACGATACCTGCTTCATACTGACCCAACTGTCAAAAACTCGACACCTCAGTGGGATTCAAACCAACGCAGCAAAAGGAAGCTTTTAGTACAGCCGACGCTCTAACCACCTAAGCTACGAGGCCCCACCGGACTACTGCGTGGGTTCGATTCTCACCGAGAGGCCGAGTTTTTCACAGTTGTGTGCATAGGAATTATTAAAAATATCCCATAATCTTCCTTCACTAGTTAGGGGTAGGAAACTTTTAACAAAATCGACAGCACATTGTATATTCAAGCGACTTCCTATTTCAGTAACCACCTATTAATGCGTTCCTGTAGTCAAGCACATTGGCATAAATTACAGAGATTTTCAAAAATGATCCTTCCTAACTGGAAGAATTAGGCTTCCGCTTGTCTTAAATGGGCGGGACGAGGGGACATAACCAGGTAATTTTCGCGAAAGCAAAATAGCTATATTCTTCGACAAGTTTATTTCGTGATTCGTGGAAACATAATGTCCGGAGAGACTAGAATTTTTTGAAAACTTGCATTTAATTGCCAGGCATAGGCAAGTATTTTAGAAATAACCCTAAAAAGACCAACCTCCAAGTGGCCACTTAAGTTGTCAATCACGCGGTAAGTTGCTTTTTTGTGGTTTAAGTTTCTGTATTACGTAACCTAGAATAAGGACTCGTAAGTCATTAGCCACTTTCCGCCTTAGTGAACGTTGTGTAGCTCTTGAAGTAGGAGACACGATCGCTGGGACAAGAGCTTTATTCTTTTGACGTTTCGACTTTCTGCCCGAACCCAGCATCAGAGACAAATGCAGATACGAGTGGGTCATGCACAAGGGGCCGCAGTCTTGATAGAGTGCAGTCGCCATGCTACCGCATACCTATGAAGATTCACGGTCCCCCCCCCTTTATCTGGGACCGTTTTACTTGGTGTGCTGACTGTTTGATGGCCGGCATTCGTGTCATTAATTGCTACAATTCCATCACCGTTCTCTCCGCCGCAGGAGGAATATTTCCTATTTTTTACGTGCTATTAACATGTCACCTCTTTTTCCACCTATTTTGCATAAGCAACCTAACGAAATTATATTGCCAACCGAAGTCCGCGTCAATGCTCGTCTATTGAATCCTGTCGCCTTGCGGAATCGAAAGGTTTGCTAACGCATGCTTCATCTGCATGTACTGCTACCATGGGTGCTAGATGGGTGCTAGATGTACTGCTAGATGGGTGCTAACAATGCGAATTGTTTCCAGAAAACGTTATGTACACTGCCGAATGTGTGTATAATCAACTGGGGTTGACGGCCTCGTCTTTTCACCGCTAGTTGATGTTCAAGCATGCGAGTAAAGACAGCCTCCACTGTTTGACCACTACAGACCGCATCACAGCCAGTTGGTGTTCAAACACAGGGTTATACAACTAACCCTGCTCCTAGGGTATGCAAGCTGTGTGCGCAAGATTATCGCGCCAATCACATCTCGTCATCCCTTCGGAACCGGTCGTGGATGTTCGAATTTGTACCTAAAAACCCTTTTCGAGACATCCAAATCGACATGCCTATTGGTAATTGCCTTGTCTGGTTGGGTAGTTGCTGTTGAAGTTCAGTACTTGCGTCGTATTTGCCGCTTTCCTGAACACGGTCTTTAGTCCACCACAATCTTTGCGGCATACGAGGACATCCAGGAAGGCCAGCTGGTTGTTCTCTTCCTCCTCCATCTTAAATTGTATGCCCATGTTGACCGCATTCAGATGTTCCTTGAATGTCAGCAGTTAATTCCGGTCAATAACGACGAAGGTATCATCCACATTCAGGGCCCAGTACTTCGGTTTGTGGTGTTGGAAGACCAGAAACGCACTGTAATGAGCCGAAAGATAAGATTGCTGAACTACAATACTTCCGACGGGTCTTCAAGGCCAATGGCTACCCGCGCAACTTCGTCAACTAGTGCATACGCAAAAGGGACGAAAGGCCTAACCGCACGGATACCCAATTTTGACGAGCGCTTCCATATGTCAAGAACGTTCCAAAAGCTGGGTTAGGTTTCATGTTTGGGTATGTCTATAAATATAAGGTAGACAGCTA